TATTCCATGTCCGAAAAAAAATCACGAAAAGTCACTTAAATTGTCTCCACTTTCACACAACCGTTTGTTACTACGACATAAATAGTTTTGCCCGAAATAAAAGGTTTGTAAATAACGGAATATAAATATACATAAATAAAGCCCGGTCACACTGGCGTCGCTCAGTACAAAAACCAAATCGAACGATCGCAATTTATTCAAGAATGAAACTCAGTAGTAACTTAATACAACCTAAAACAATTATCTACGAAATCGAATACACTTGGGTTTACAATGCAGGATATTCACTCATTGACCGGGCAAGGTATAAAGATATGTGACAGGTGTTAACAGAACTTGAGAGTATATAGTACAGATCGGCTGGCCGGATTGTTTAGTGAAGTGTATCAAGTCAACCAGCCAGACTTCATTCCCGGATGTTATCATAGTTTCATTAACCAATCAGAATCTCTCGCCCCTCCTCCTTCGTTCTTATACGCCCAAGTATAACACGCGCGTGTTGATATATTAAAACAATGAATTTCAATTAGCTTATATATGTCAAAAGAAAAAACAGATGGACGAAAGAAAAGTGTCAGATGAAAGTTATTGTTATTTTATTACTCATACCTGAATTTCTACACGCGTCTGAATAAAACCAAGATATGAAATCGTGTTATACGTTCTGACTTGCATGCTCGTGTTTGGTTTGATATCAGAGAGTGAAAGCCGACTCTCGAAAGCACTGTCACAAACTTAAATTATGCACAGGCGCTGTGGGGGTGACGAAAATTACAAAGGTGTATGAAGGACACACAGTTATAAGTTCTGATACCTTAAGCTTAAGATAAGAGTCCAAGCTACAGATGTATGCGTCCCTTTTTAGCATAGCTTTCTGGAAAGTTATAAGGGTTCTAAAGCGAAGGTGTCTTTTACTGATTTTGATTCAAAAGTCAAACTTTTTTCATGCATGGAATATGTAGTGTAAAACTATTAGTGCCATTTTGCATCATAAATTAAATATTAATAACTTCTTTGAAAGTTCCTTTCTTGATCAGTCAGCTGAATTTATTCAAGTGTGTTCTGCATAATATATGTAATTTACATAATATTATATAGTTTAAAGATGTGTTTCCTTATTTTTTAGTGTCAAATTAAGCAATCTATTTGATTAATTGGTGTTTCTAATGAATTATCATGTATTCTTATTGCATATAATTAAGAGTTTTAACCAATCATAAATGTCCAGGTATGTACAGTCTGGATAATCAACAACAAAATTTTTTTTTTTACCTTTCTTGATCTACGGGTAATTCTGTTCTAATTTAGCTAATTATGAATTAATTATGGGCATGTGAGACAAACTGGTATTTTTCTTAGTCCTAAGAATACCTCTACTTTCTATTCATATAAGTATTAGCCCTTTCATTTTTATAAATGCAAATAAGGGAAGCCATCTTTAATAATTGAATATAGGAGATTGATTTATTTGAATAGCTGTTGAGAAAATCAGTTAACATTTATTTTCAACTAGTCGAAATTGCAATTTTCAACCAGTTGCAAACGTCAGTCATAATCTCATCTCATTACTTCATTTGTGACTGACTTCGGGGTCAACATGTTTGCTTCTCAATAAATCACGTGATCAATTTTTGTTGTAAGTGTGGCAATGATCCATAAAATCATACACATTTTATCTTAAGTAAAACTTACTTTTGAGTTCATCAAGATACCTCGCTAGCAAATACTTCAAAAATATATAACTGAAAGCTATTGTCAATTACATGTATCATTATGGGGTATTTGAAAAAGGTGTGGTAGACGATCGTCGTACCAGTATTTAGATTGAACATATATTATAAACCTATTGTTGATCAACACGACCAGGATGTTTTGAAGCTATGTAAATTATCTCAATATCCCAGGTACTTCACATTTAGAGGTATACAGTCGTTGAATTGACCAAAGCTCATTTCATACTGCGGACCCGTGTTACGGACACACAATCCTCATCAGGGCAGATAGTACTTTAGAAATGAGAGATAACACAACTCTCACTAAGATAGCTAGTTTTGGAAATGGGAGCTCACTTCCCAATATAGGACTTAAAGTGATACTACGTCTTAGAATGGACATACAATTTAAGCTCTCGAAAAGGTCAATATGAGTTTATATTCATCAGTGAACTTACCTGGTGTCATAAAGTTACAACAAATTCCCTGTAAAATCTGGAAAATTGGAAATACAAAACACTAAGTAGTTATTGAAAAACGCTTAATCTTGATATTATCTCTTTTTCAATAGTTAATTGCATATTTTTGGATAATTACTAAGTTTTTTGGATTTATCAGATTATATAAGGATCCAGTTATGTTATTTATGACACCAGGTATATCTACTGGCTCTTATTCGCCAAGTTTAAAATTCTTAAATTTTATGTTAATTCTAAGATGTAGTATCACTTTGTTCTCTAATTGACTGAAACTCGTCATATACTTCCGACATGTGTATCAGAAACGCAGTCTTTAACAGGAAAGTTTGGTGCAGAAAAGTAGGACGTAAAACTCATTTCATTTTATTTTTAACAGGAAAGCTAGTTATGGAATTGGGGTTTAATTTTCCACAATAGGAATGTAGGCGTATGATAAAAGGGAGCGAACTTGCTGACCAGGAGCCCAATTTTAACTGCATCACTTTTAAGAACGATATTGGAATGGCGGTAGTGCTCAAATAATACCTCCAGTGGTGTTTCTACGGGTGGCCCCCCAATATTCATATTTTTTATTATTTTACATTTTGATGACCCTTTAACTGATAAAGTCTTATTCGCTTTAACTGATGTTTCCAAGAAACGCCACTGTTCACCCTTCCACTACACACATCCTGTTTTGTCGACATGTACAGTCAATATTTGGACACCTAAATCCCTTAAATGATTTATTTACATTATCTCCATATCATGGGTACATCACACAAAAGCTTTTACAGTCATTGTTGTACACATTTCCTCCTAATCACATACAATCTCAAAAGATACACCTGAGTGAGGTAAGCTATCTAACTTTAAGCTCCAGTCCGAGGTGCAGCAGGGGTGTCTCCGGGCGAATAGAGTCATTCTCGAGCAGGGACCATTGCAAGGAAAAATCAATCTTTTGAAAAATGATTCCGTGTACATGAAGGAACATTTTCGTAGTTCGACTTGTATCCTCCAAACGAACTATCAGCGTACTCGGGTCGGGACATACAGGATACTGGTTGGTGCAGGAACCGGGTCTGGGTCTGCAGCTGAGAATAGTTTTTGGAGTTTGGAGTCAGTCCATCCCCTCGATCTAGATTCTTGGACTCTTTGTACTCGGGACGTTTTTAAACCAGTACTCCTTGTCGACTATAGCGAGCAGAAAACTTCTGATATTATTTCTTATTGTCAAAAATTGTCCTGCAGGTGTCTCTGTGTTGTCCTATTACATACCTACCTCTACCAGTCCCCTTTGGGATTGGGATGTGAGAGAGGTTCTAGAAGAATGTATACACACTTAAATTTGTATTTAATGTTTTAATGATAAGTTACTTCAATAAATACTAATAAAAACAAGAATTATACATCAGTAAAGGTAACCACAAAGCACAGAATGAAACACCTGACGACACTTTACTACAGGGCTTGTCAACTGGACATCCCTTTCTGAGAGTCCACATAAACTCAATGTACAGATAACTCATATCACTTATTAGAATTAAAATCTGACACCCAGTTCTCTTGCAATGCAAACAAATGTGGAAATGTAGATAAAGACTCTTTCATCTGTAGTACTGTAGTACATATCAAAATTAAAATCTGACACACAGTTGAATTGCGATGCAATCAGAGATTCAGGGTAGTTATCAATCAAATCATGTTATCATGCCTATCTCACATATCTTGTTATATTTACCTGAGCAACCACACCTTTTTAATATTGCACAGTAAAAATATCTTAAATGAGCAAAAAACTGAAGAAAAAAAAAACAGGTATCACAAAATCTAATTTTCTTCCAAACCCCTCCCTTTATTGTGTTATAAGCTCTCTTTAGAATTGTAAAGAAAATATTTGACAACCTCCTATTGTTAAAACAATTTACTTTTTTGGGGAAACCCTGCTTTTATTGCTTTAAATTTGAAAGATTGTAAAATTAAATCATCATTGAACCAAACTTGTATAAAAAGGACATTCCACTTTTAATTTTGTTATGCTTTTTGAAAATTATTGTACAGATTTGAGTAAAATAAACTCATAATTGTAGAGAAATATGTCTCCTACGTATTCTAAAAGTTTTAACTAGTAATATCAAGCCATTATATAGCCAAACACCAAAACTAGGTCAAACTGCTTAAATAACAACTAGTACTCTCAGTTTTTAATTAACCCTTTTAAAACAAATTTCAGTTTGATCACGAAAATACATAGATATAAATAGCATACTTTAGAAATACCTTAAGGTATGATTTACAATGTTTTTAATAATGAAAACATTTTACAGAAGCAGAATATCCCTTTTGAAACTAAATATTATGTAACACCTTTTTAATGGGTCATAGTCATCAAAATATTTGCTTCACCAGTTGATAGCACTCAGTTTCAGCTACCTGTAATACTTTTCAGAATCAAATTCAGGCATTTGAATAGCCTTTAATTCTATGAATATTTGGGTTTCGTCATCTGGACATGCCTTACAGAAAGTCTATCAACTCAGTATTCCTTAGGCTTACAGAGAGTCCACATAGGTAATAATTTTTATTTGGTATTCAGGTTTGTCAATTCAATATCCCTTACAGAGAGTCCACATAGCTAATAATATTTGGTATTTACGTTTGCCAATTTCACAACCTTTTAGGTTCTCCACATATGAGTAATATTTACCAATACTTTTCAAAGAATCCAGTAAGAAATCTGCTAACAATGGCTAATGTTTATCATGAAATGTTGATGAAGATTTGGCAAATTGGAAGAAAAACAGCGACTATGATGAATGTTTAAAAAAAATTATGACTGATCCTCTTCAACAGGGGAATCTTGTAAAGACACAATCAATTTATCTACCAGTATCGATAATACTTTATCTATTGGATCCATGAAGCCACGCTGGACCCACTTAGGTATAGTGACCCTAGCGTGTGTGAACCCTAATTTCTGTAACACGTAGTCAACTCCAACAGGATCTATCTGTCTTGAAGCCCAGTGAAGTAATCTATATCGAAAAAATAAAATTAGAAATCATAAATTCGTTCGACAACATTTCTTACTGCTTCAACTTTAAGTCGCACCCAATCCTGAAGGGCACGCAAATTTTTAAGAGCTTTATATTCAGCGGAATTTTGCCATCAGTACAAAATAGCTGAGTCAGTCGAACATCACATCACATCAACATCACCTCCAATTGGTTAAAAAGTATCAATCGCCCAATAAAATACCCCGACGAGCGAATTTGCCAGTGAATGGAAATATCTTATAGACTGACCTGACTGTTGGTTCGAGTTGCCATGTTTTACATTTAAAATCTCTCCAATCTTGTTTCAACGCTGCCGTGGGATCTGCCGGAATCTTCTTTTTATCAAACTCTGGTGATTTTGGACTACGAGAAGTATGTCCGTAAGATGTCCGAGCCCCTGAAAGATGAAAATCACATAGAATATAAAGGTATGTATGTGCTAGTGGCAGGGAGCATGGCCCCCCCAGAAAAAAGGCTAACCCAGTTTTTTATTTAGAAATGGAGCTCCTTTCAAAAAAAGAAATCTGACGATCAAATAAGATCAAAATGTTTACCTTTATCTTTTTCTTTAATATAAGATGATACCAAATCATGGAGGAACAAGATGACTTCTGCGTCCATGGCAACATAAATATGGTCGTGGAATTCTGTTACGAATGTACATTCTACCATAGCTTGAGGATCTAAAATTAAACATTTAACATAAAAAATCTTTCTCAAAATTGTCTTGTGAGTAGACATACAACATCTTACCATTGAGCTTACAGACATATATTCTTATTGGTCAATGAGCTAATTCTAAACCAATTGAAAACTTCGAAATAAATGCCATAATTCTGGAACACACTATTCTGATTTTCAGTCAGACGTCAGTGATCCTCACCATTCCACTTAAACTAAGTGTTTTAAGATGTCAATATCACTGAGGCCCTTTTGCATCTTGAGCGATAGTGACATCTTTTTATGGTTAAGCATTTCTATTATTTACGAGAACCACAGACATCTGACAGAAATTGGAATGATGCAAATAGAAGCTGAAACTTACCGTCAAGTTGAGGTTCACCTTTACTTTGAAGATGTGAAGTTTTTAGATTTAAGGTCATTGAAGGCATAGCGAAGATAATTTCTGTCTCATGATTATAGACTTGTGATTTTCGTGATTTACGATGTTCTGTCGGACTATCAGTACCAGTACGATCTTTTATTATTGTGGGGAATGAGTCTAGATCTGAAAAAAAATATCAGTCCAGAAATTATACTAGTAAAAATTTATACCTAATATTACTTGTGGGATGACCAAGGTTTTAGCTTGTAATCATCAAAAATGTCCAGTTTTTTTGAACAGTGGGTACTATGCTCTGAGCCATAAAATATGCCCCTTCCCCACACACAATACAAGGGGCAGTCTATGTGATGATGGCCGTCTTGACTGACCCTTCAAGGCAAAGAGACCTCCAAATGCCCCTTTAAAGATTTAAGCCCCTCCCTTGTGCTTATAATAACCATACCTTTAACTTCATTGGAAGCGAAGGCGTAAGTAAACCATTCCTGCACACTGGTAAACTGTTGTGGTACATAATGACCACGTGACAGTTTACATATCGTGACCATATGTTGATCTACAGCGTTACTTCCACTGGCTGTTCCAGGATTCGGTGTTACTCCTCCGACTATAAAACTTAAATCTTGAACAATATGGGTACCTATAAAATAAATAACAAGAATCGATTCTAACTCCACTATTATAAGACCGGTAGGGTGTTCTCAGTATTCCTGAACACCCGATACCACTCTGAAGCTACCAACTTGATAATTTGAACCCTATGAGACAAATATCAGAAAATAGAGTATGTTCCCTATTCTGGAACACCTGAATCCACTCTGCTGCTGTCAATTTCAATCACGAATAGATACCAAATATAACAAATATAACAAATATAACAAATAACATGAATTGATTCTTAATCCACTATTATAAGTTACTAAGAAAGGCAAGGTATGCTCAGTATTTCGGAACACCCGCTGCCACTCTGCTGCTACCAATATGGAAACTGACACATTCAGTTACCAATAGAGATAGATGGTGTCCGCTAGCGCTATAGGTTTGAATCCAAATCAAGATCAGGAGCTTGATAGCACAACAAATTACCCCTTCTCCCCAGCCTGTGCTTTCGTAATTTCAGTTACACATGTATATCATATTTTCAACCAAATTCACCAAGAACAGTCAGTTCACATTCCCTTATCACTACTGACCACAAAAAAATACTTTCAACTTAAAATTGTAAAAAAATGGCTTACATTCATCTTCTGTTTTCTGAGCCTCCGTGGAAAACCCAATACATGGCTGCTTAATATTAAAAATAGCCCACGATTTGGAACGGAAATTTATTCCGTGGAATGATGCTAAACATAAGTTCTCTCCCTTTAAAGATACAGATCCACCGAGCACCATGCCCTGTTCAGGAAGTATCTGGGGTAACATGGAAAATCGGCACCCCACTAGATGTTGCAGCGCGCTCTGCCAATGGCGATGATGTCGCAGTTCTGATAATACTGAAAAGACAATCAAAAATTGTTCTACTTCGGCTGCAACTATTCACTGATGACCTTTTTCTATTTATGTCTTTCTATCTTGAAAAAAGACAAGTTGTCATTTTAAACTTTGATAATTCTGGACACACAAGGATTTGAAGGCTCAAATTTCAACGGTAAGCTGTAAACATTATTACTGATTGGCTCAGCTAAGGTAAGATACGATTGGCCCAATAAATATTTCAAAATATACCCTGTTTATTGGAGCATACGACAACTTTAAAACAAAACCCACCGTCGTCTGCTAGTTTACTTTGTCGGTGTGTAGGTTTACTCGATAACGGCCCAAATGCTGACAACACTCTTTTACTGCTCGTCAGCTGCTGGGTGAAGAACTCTTCTAATTTGGAAACCAGTTTTATCAAATCAGGAGTCGTGGAACGAGAAATCATGAGGTGAAATTGGTCCCACTGGAGATCACCGTTTACAAACAAATATGCTGATCTGAAATATACAGCAGGGCAGTTTGGTTTGGTTGTATTTATTAGTCATGTTTGACTAGAACTCTAGGCTTTTGGTTTGATTGGTTGTCTGACTAGAGCTCTAGGAAGTTGGTTTGGTTGTATTTACCAGTCATGTCTCACTAGAGCTCTAGGCAGTTGGTTTGGCTGTATTTACCAGTCATGCCTCACTAGAGCTCTAGGCAGTTGGTTTGGCTGTATTTACCAGTCATGTCTGAGTAGAGCTCTAGACTGTTGGTTTGATTGGTTGTCTGACTAGAGCTCTAGGCTATTTGTTTGGCTGTATTTACAATTCATGTCTGACTAAAGTTCTAGACTGTTGATTTGATTGTATATAATGGAATAATAAATATCTAATAAAAACATCCCACATTTCAGACAAAGTCGTTATATCATTAATCTTTACTTTGCGACCTAGGCCAGTGCTTTTATGAAACTATGAGACCATCTAATAACAATTCTGTATAATCATCTTACGTACCTATTGGTTGCTACTGGTGTATCAGTTTCTCTGTAGAGTTCTACATGCCATTCATCATGTAGTAAGATGTCTAACATATTTAAACGTGTCATTAATACACTACTTCCCATATAATCTACACGACCTTCTAATATATCTATATTTAAACCAGCACGATGATCAGGATCATATCCTAAATCAGGGTCTTCTTTAACTTGGACTGAAACATACAATAGGGTTACAGTTTTCACAAGTTGAACAAAAAATTAATTGAGACCAATTCACAAACTCTAAACTTATTCAAGTGCATTAAATCTCAGGCCTTATACTCAAAAAATCAACCAGATTTTAAGAAATACAGTAATCTGATTGGATAATAAAATAGAATTCAAAATCGATTTTAGTGTTTGACCAATCAGATGACTAGAATACTAAAATCATCCTAAGTTAAGTTTTTGAGAAGATGGACCCTTGTGAACCATGAAAAAAATATCTTTTCTTGTTATTCCAGTTGACCCAACTGTAAATGGGTTTGGATAAGCCAGGAAAGATCACTGCCTGGATGTTTGAACAAGTACCAGCTGGTAGAAAGGAACCTTGATATCTTCAGTGGTTATCTGAACAAAAAATGGCCGTTTCTGTTTTCTCTTTTATACCTGTTTTATATGTTTTAAATCAGACAGCAGACCTGGAAGTACATCTTGGCTCGACTAAACCTTCTTCCATCTTTGAAAGGATGCATAAATCTAAAAATAAACTTACACAATCCCTGTATACCCTGAACATCTATAGCCCCTCCTATAACACCACCTCGAGATTCAAACGAAGAACTTCCTAATCCTGCTGTTATCTTTAAATTCTTATGTCCACTGCTATCTATTGACAGTCTCCCGTGACTTTTTACATCCTTGGTGATCCACCTGTATTGACAAAGAAAATCTTCAAGGTTAAAATGGCTAATATGGAATCTCAGGGAAAAACTTGCAATACAAAGTGAGAGGGGGGGGGGCGCGAAATATCTGAGATTGCTCTAATTTCTAACCTAGTTATGTGATTTTTGCCTGAAAAACTTCCTTTCGGGGCTGCCGGGGGACCGGCTGTCTCCTTTGCCCCCCCTTTGCATCCGCCACTGAGACACAGTCCCTCTTCTATTTGCCTCTTCTATTTCTAGTGTATCGATAATCCTGCACCCTGCATAACAACGAACACCAAATACTAGACTCAGCCTACTATTTCAATCGAAGGAGAACTTACATCGTGTTTCCCATGACATTACTCATGTTCACATCTAAATCCAACCGTGATAAATTCACGGCAAATAAAACCAGGGTCTCCCACGAACTTGTCACGCTGGTCTGTCCCGACACGTGGCGTTGTCGAGATGACAGGTCTGGAGAAAAATAACCTTTTGATCTAGTCTTGGTAGATGAACGACTGGTTGATGGTGATTGATATGATGTTTCTGATGTTACTTCTGATGGTTGACGTTGGTACTGATTCACTCCGACTAAAAATAAAATAAATCATTTAGGGGATATAGTTACCTAAAATATTCACTGATTGAGATCAAAAGTTTAACCTCAGCTATACATATCACGTAAAATAATATTATAAGCCATCCGTGTCACTTTTCAGATTCAAAATTGGTTCAAATTAGAATCGTACGTCAGAATTTAAGTCTGAAAAGTGATTTTATGATTATTGAAGTCTTGAAATCTTCTAAAACTTCTCGATTTTAGGTCCTAAGTAGTTATTTTTCCATTAAATTCAAGGGAAAAATAGATTTCGAAATATTTAACAATATTTCGTTATTAAAAGATAACTAATCAACAAAATTTAGAACTGAAAACTTGACAAATATTGGTGCACAATAAAAAAAATACACAATATAACTTCATGCAACAAAACACAATAAACATCAAACTTAAAGGCTTAGCAGGCATTGGCTTAAGAGCTATAAAAGAGAAAACTTGAAAGCATTTTTCTCCAAGTTTTGTAACTGATTCTCATTTTATTTGGCAGGACTGTTTGGTAAAAACTGTGCACTATACACACAAATATACAGTTTATAACATTATTAGAAATATTATCAAGTAGTGCTGGCACAATATATCTGTGAATCGATGTATCACAGTAAGACATGTCACGATACGCATATTGTATCGCGATGTCGTGTATCGATATTTGGCGATACCTTGTATTCCATAAAAAGAGGGGATTCTCTAATAAGTTTTTTTTTCATATAACAAGTTTTTTCACTGAAATTGTTAGAAACTATTTATAAGACAGTGGACGCTAACCACTTCTATCAACTATATTACCAAATATCACAGTAATATAATATATCTAGAAACTTTGATGATAAAATGTTAATTTTTATCCCATATCACGATGGATTGTATCGAGATCCTTTATTGTGATACATATCATATAGTGACATGATTGACTATACCCAGCACTGCTAAAAAGAAGTATATCTTGTTACATTATTTTCCAGTCTCCAACATGAAGAAAGAGTCAAACCTTTCTTTTTGTCTTTATCGAGTTCTTTCTGAAAATCTGGCGTCAAATGAACTTTGACCTTGTCTCCAGACGAGGAAACGCGTCGATGTTGCTGATAGTTCGTTTGTTCGTCTGTATAAAATAATGCTGGATCAGAAATAGACGTTTGTGATAAAAACGGGAGTCTAGTTGTCTCCCTTTCTGCTAGCCAGAAGTCTGGATCGTCAGGGTCTACAAAATATTCAAACACGAAACACAAATACAAACTGATAATCAACATACATGCAGCAGATATCTTGAGATATCCAAATTCAAAATCAAAGAAAAAATAAAGAAAATTCAAAATTTGGCAAAAAATGGAAATTGGCAAAGCTCTGTTTATATTGCTTAAAGCATTACTTCATTCAGAACAGGTTATTTATAGTTACAAATCTACTTGAAATACGAAATGAAATGAATGTCCTACTTTTCTGCTCTATTTCTGCTCATGAAACACCATGCAATGCGCAATGAGGGTAAATATCATAAGCTTACTCTTTTTAATTTTGAGGGATCTTTAATGTGTACAGCCATAAGCACACTGGGCCTCGGTTTAGTGTGATTTTGATACATCTGCCCCTTTGACCTGCATCACTGACAGGGGGAGATGAAGTTAGGACATTTAAATCAACATGGATTCTATGTCTTTAGGAACAAAAAAATCAAAGCTAAAGCTACTCAGCTTGTGAGGATTTTAAGAACTATCAAAATCAAATATTGAACAACCATGCAATATCAAAACACAATACAAAACTTTCATAAAATAAAAAAAAATAAAAATACCATCTCCTGGTGTTTGTCCAAAACTATCATCTCCCAGAAATAATCGACGAGCCAGATTACGTCGATACCAAGCTTTTGGAAGTGACAGGATTTCCGATAATCGTCTCATGTCGTATTTAAACGAGGCAGCTCCGATATCACATACAGCTGAAAGATTAACATTTAAAATCAATATGATAAATCATAAACAAATAATTTATGATCAAAGTTTCCAATAGAGGTGAATTAATGATAGGACAGCTAAACAAGCTTACACTCTCCAACTCCAACTGTCAAGTGATCTAAAAACTTCCAGAGAACTAGAGAGGGTGACCTATAAACAAGGCTTTGACCTGGAATCATGACCTTTAAAATATATAACCTTGACCTGGAATTATGATCATTAAATTAAGCCTACGAATTGAGCCTTGAACTGGAAGGTCATAACCTATGAACTCAACCTTGACATGAAAGGTATTGACTTCTAGGATCAGCCTTAACCTTGTAGATGACTTATAAACTTCACCTTGACCTAGAAAGTCATGAACTATGCATTAGACCTTGACCTTAAAGGTTATGAACTATGAACTTACCTGAGAATCGAACCATGTTACATTTCTGTTGGGGATCAGGTGTTTTTGATGTGACTGTGATATTATCTCCTGATCTATAATCCATCTTTCTACTGCGTGAAATATTGACTTTAATAAACTCTACGTTCAGACTGAGGGAGTCTTTTCTCTGTAGTTCCAACAAACTGCTACTTCCACTGGTCTCCTGTATAGATCCTGAAAATATCACAGAGGCTTCATAAAACAAGAATTGTGACTGAATCCTTGGCCTGATGCTCAACACTATATACTGTATAATTGCGAATATAATACACACCCCTTGCCCTCTAGTATATCTTATGAGTTTTTTGAAATTATGAAATAATATTCATTAATGTCTGAAAATTCTATTGAACATTTTTAGCTATGTGGACTCTCTGAAATGCAGTAAATACCAATAACGTTATTAGCTAATCTTGTAACTGCTTAGTTGACAAACCAATTTGCAGATTAATACCAAGTTTTATGGAAGATGATTTTCAACAGATATCCAAAGGTATTTCAAAAAACCAGCTTCATACCTAAACCTCTAGGAGTATAACTAGGAGAGGTAGTAGCAGTCTGCCCAGTTCGGCGCTGACCACCGATTCCATAGGGATGAAAGATGTACAGTGAAAAGTTTGAGAGGACCCCAGTAACACTGAGACCCCCAGACTGGGTACTCAAACTGTTGTCTGACAGGGTGCTACCCAGACGGTTTCGATGTCCACCGATATTTCCACTGTTTATTCCTTTCTCTGACGGTCTCTTTGGTACTGAAATAAGAACAGGAAATAGGTTATACACGATATTAGACGTGAAATATAATAAGATTGACACGTTACTTGTCTGCTATTAAATGGACAATTGTAGACTGGCATTGCCACGCAGTGTACAATAAGGGAAATTTTGCCCAGGAGAGCAGCAAATTCCTTTGCTCTTTCCAATAACTAACTGTTAAAGCAATGTTTCCAGTCTGTTGCGCACAAGGCCTCCCTAAACTGTCCAATGCAAAAAAATGGATGGATACTTCTCCCATGTCAGCTCGTCTGCACCACAGACAGAGGGAAGCCATGTAACAGTTGGGTGATAACTAAAACGAATCCTTACCTTTAGCTCTGGAAGGAGGAGTTCCCTCCCCTAACTGAGCCTCGACATCTGATTTCTTGGTTGAGAAAACCAGTTCTAATGAAGGTACATTGAGAACACATTCTACTCGTCGAGATTGGAATACAATTAAATCTGATCATAGAGCGTTCAACATGAATAAACACTACCACATCTACCGGGAACGATGCCAGACCAACAGGAGATGTCAGGGAACCATGGGAAGCATCCAGTTCCATATTCAATACTCCACCCATAGCATCAACTGTAACAACAAAAAGGAAATAATTACTAAATACCATTTCAGTTTCCTCAGTTTCCGATCATTCTACTAAATTTCCATCTGGTCCTTACTCCAACCTCTTGAGTTTCCTATCTACAAGCCAGTTCTTAAGAACTTAGGTTCTCGAGGATCCGGTCTACCACCTGGTTCTTAGCAATGATTTTACAAAATAATATTTTAAAGGATCATGACTGTTTACCAGCTGATCATTGGTTAAACCTCTTGCAATGATTTTACAAGTCTGAGGTTCCTGTCTACCAGCTAATTGGACAAAAGTATCGATAATGATTTGTTCTTTGAAATTACCTTTTTTATGAGGGGTAGGACCTGCTATAGGAATTGGTTCTAGAGCTTGTTCCAGGAAATCTAATAAACATGGACTAATGATCATCTCCTGAAAAAAAACATGCAGCATCAAGGTGTGCTCATGATATCTCAAATATCCGGATACAATTCACTAACAAAGTTCATTTTACATAACAGTTTTCTCCTTGTGATTTGAATTTTGACTTACGAATTGCGATTTGGATAAGTTCATCTCAATCTTCTCCTTATGATTGGTACTTTGACTTGTTTAGATTGTTTGAACAGGCTATAGTTAGTTTGCTTCACAAATGAAAGAACAGACGGATCATACCTCTGGTAATGTGTTCAGTGACAACCAAGCATACAAGTTGGCCCGTTTAATATTCCCTCGTTTAGATTGAGAGACCTGATAGCTACTCTCGCTTGAGGGTTCCACTATGACTGGTATCTCTGGTAGCGTAGAGCTGGACGTGGCATGGTAGTAGTTCTGGGGTGGCGTATCGTAGACTGAAGTAAATGTCTCCGAGGCCATGGGTCGTGAAATATCGTTAGTGCTGCCACCCATACCGGCCCCTGACATCATAGTTGATGTTTTTGTTTTAGAATTATAGTGAACCTGAAAGACAGGAGTAATATAAAATGGAGTTTTATATTCTTACTAACGTGTGAAGAAAGAAACAACTATTTTTTTTTAAAAGAAAACACTTAGGTTCACCAGGATGCCGTAATTTTACAAGAACAACAATTAAACTCACAAGCTAGTCACCTCTTGAAAATGATTTTAATGGATGGCATTGATTTTACAAGAAGAACAATGTTTTTAGGGATCTTGGCTCTTGGCAATGATTTAATATTGATAATAACTTGGGTATATGAGTGCTACATGCTAGACTATGGTTAAACCATAGTTGATCTAATAACTTAACAAGTCTAAGAAGTTCACTAGGATCATATCACCAGCTGATATTTGGACAAACCTCTTGTCCATGATTTTAAAATAATTACAACTTAAATTCTTGAATATCATATCTACCAGCTGGTCTTTGGCCATACCTCTTGGCACTATGTTTAAGATTCAACGCCTTAACTGACTAAAATGTTTTTTAAGGGTATAGTATTTTTACCTTCACATCAACACTGGGTAGAAAGAAGACCGTCTGCTCGCCCTGGGTTTGTGACGTCTGCTGTTGTGTTTTTTTCCCGCTACCAGTAACCGAGGTGACAGAATCCTGCTGTTTCATTTTGCGTCTGACAACAGGTGATCCACTGTCACTGAGACCACCGCTTTTCTCTCTTTTTAATTGTCTGAAATCAAATCAGATCCATTAATTCATTAATTCTTCGAATAAAAATGTGTTTCCCTTTTCCTTCCTTCACAAGAATATCATCACCCTTCTTGTAACAGTTTTTTTTTTTTTAGATATGAACACACACGCATATGAGAAGTTAATGCAAACTCTCTTCCCCCCACATCCCCCCCCCCCCCTTCAAAGATATTTGGTTAAAGTGAACCTCGATTCCATCCATCCAGGGGATGTGTTTCAAGTGACGAGGATACCTGCTATGGATAAGGATAATGCTAATAACAATAATTATTGGAACCTACTTTTTGACTTCTTCTTCCTTGGCCTCTTTCGGATAGAGAACACATTTCCCACTGTCAATAAACACTTTAATATCCAGTTCGAAATCAATACTTGGCTCTGTGGCTGTTTTAATCTGGCCACTCTGTACTGATTGTGCACTTTCTATTGTTGTACTCCTCTGGCGACTGAAGAAACAACAAATAGGCTTATTATTTTAGTCTAGGAGGCACCTTCCCCTGGGCCTTCTTAACCTTAGATGAACAACTGATAAATTTCAGATGAAAAATGTTAAAAAACTGAACTATAAGGTTACAGCAGTTCAGAGCAAATTTAAAAAAGCACACGCGCGGACCTGGGTGTCGGCAAAAAAAAGTCGGTGTGAAATTACTAAACCTACTTTTCTTTAGTTTTAATGGTGGTTTCTGGTTTACTGTCCTCTGAGTCGAAGGAAGCGGTAGAAGATGAGAGATCTGACTGAGACCCTATGATGTCCTGTAGAGATATAGACTGAGGTACCAGATCCTCGCTATCTTCATCAAACATATCACAATCAAAACTCATCGAGCGACTCTCTCCAGTACTGTAATATACAGAATCACAAGGTTCATGATGGACCAGGAATCTAGATTTTACCCTTCCCCCCTGAGAGCAATGTGATTGGTTGGATATTCTAATGAGTTAGAACATGTGTTCCATGATAATTTCTTCAGATCATGAATGATGAGTGTTGTAACCAACTTTAATGTCCACTTCAACAAATTGTTGGGTAATGAAGATGGACAACAAGAAGATAGAATTGAGAGGTAATTGACCTCTGTCTGTACAACACAGGGTTTCATTTTATTGTCACATGTGAAAGACTAGACTATTTTCCATGTCAGCTCCACAAAGCATCTAGATTTGAACCTTATAACATTTCGATGATATGTAAACAATAAACAATAACTTACCTAGAAGAAGGTAGACTGGATCCAAACTGTACATGGCCACTAAGACTAGTGTATGAAGGAACACCCACAGAGGCTGGTCGACCACGACTACGATAATCTAATGTTTTAGAATGGGATTGACAGGTCATATCACTGGAAAACAGAGAATTAGGGTATATAATCGAATTGCGTCAATCGAAAGCTGAGGAAAAGAAATTAGTCAAATTGTGTTTAAGGTCCTTCTGTTATAGGGCTAATGGTTATTATAGGACAGCCACAGTCACATAAGCCTACTCTTTTCCAATTTCCAACCGTCGCAGGATCTGCACAGACTTTAGCCCTTAGGGTCTCAGATTATTGTCCTATCCGAACGACTAAATGCTTTTATCATATCAACAACTCTGACCTGCATCAATGACGGGGAGAAACTGAGTTGAAAAAACAGAAGGTATTATCTCGACTTATGCCTTAATTGAACATTGGACCATCAGGTTACTGAGCAAGCGTCTAACTAACTGATCCAACGAGGCTTCTGAATTATTAAGATAGAGGAAAGTAATTGTTGATGTGAATATTTATACAACTACATTCCGTTAAATAACAACCTTACCTGTCTACCCTCCTAGCGTGATGACCTCCGTATGACCTTGACCTCATATGGGAACCAATTCCAAGTTTATCTTTGATAGCTGATGCCTGTAAAAAACCACAAATTATTTCTCTTGTTGAACTTCCTGTTGATTTCACGAATCCCAAAAGAGCAGAAGTCACCAATCAAGTGCCACCTTATGATTAACAGAGATTGAGTTGTTAAGTTACGTTAAAACTGTAATTATTTGTAAAATATTTATTATTAGTATTATTACCTACCCTTTCACTCTGTTTTTTAATCTTATTGAACACATCTCGCCTAAAATCTCGGAACACCAAAGCTTGTAACTCCTCTAATTTTCTCTTCTCAGCTTCAATGGTTGATTGACTAGCCCCTAATTCCCTGGATTCAGAGAAAAAAAAATTTGGTGTTTCAAAGTTTATTGAATGCAGGACAAGGACTAAATTTCAGCCATTTTTGAATGGTCATCAGAAGGTTTCTAAATTTTTCATATGTATATCTGAGATAGAAATTTTCACCATTCAATTTTTAACAAGCAACTATACTCAAATTAACCTTTCCCAAAAGTTGTTAAAAATGTCTAAGAACCTTTGCGATAGTGACATCATTAAGTTTCAGGAATTTTAAAAGACAAACAGACGTCTGACTTAAAATTCCACACAATCCTGAACATACCTTAAATCTTGTACAATTTTAGCCTGTTCGTTCATTTCTCGTTCAATCTGCCGGACTCGTTCTTTTGGGTCCATATCAGGTGTAAAAATAATATCTGGTAAAATATCAGCTACAAGACTTGATTTACGGAAACTTAAGGGCGTCTGAAAATATAATCATTCATAAATTCAACTCATACATCAATGTATTGCCATATATGGATTCACAAGTTTTGTTTTGCAGCTTGGATCTTGGTTTTTTTTTCACCTACCTCAGAATCTGTTTCCTCATCAGATTCATTATTAACATCACCATCATCTTCACCTTCATCATTATCATCATCATCAACCATAGTATACTCATCTTCTGTTGTTTCTCCTGCTAGAGCTGTCAGAGTATGACCCAGAGCTGACAAACGCTTCCCGATATTCGTATCAAAATGGACGTCTAAACCCTGCATCTCCCATTGAACATTCAATACCCACTTAGCATTACCTTTAGGGTCTGTAAATAAAATGAAATGGAGTTTAAAACCTACTTTATTTCATCCAGAAATTATGAAGATGAGCTACCCCATGCAGTTTGCTATGAGGCAAATTTTGAACATAGAGTCACATTGGCCTATTGCTTTTTGATGAAGTCAAAGCACTGTTTATCAAAATATCATATCTGAAAAGGAGATACTGAGTTTCAAACCCAGTTACATAGTGGAATAAGGTGTTCTAGAAGTAATTATCTTCTCAAAGCTAAAATTCAATAGTCAAAGTCTTAAGACGGCACTCAAAATCTTAAAGCTAAAAGTCAACCCATCTCTTCAATACACTGACGTAATCTATGAAATTTAGTGTCCATGAAAAATAAATGATTTCAGTGTAGTTCACCTGAAGGTATTTTCGTAGCTGTTCTAGAGCAGACTTCATATGTTCCTTCTGGCACCACCATTATATTCATATTGGGTTCTTCTTTACTGTTAGGTTTCCAATCATCCCATGACGTCTCAAAATCATCTGCAAATCTCAGACAAAATCCTGGAATATATCAAAATGTAGGAATTCTGAAGAATCGAGACTTAGATAATGGGGGGTGAAAGTCGACACCAGGCCCACTCTCAGAAGCATTGGCTGCAAATCTCAAACAGAATCCTGGAATATATCAAAATGTAGGAATTCTGAAGAATCGAGACTTAGATAATGAAGGGTGAAAGTCGACACCAGGCCTACTCTCAGAAGCATTGGCTGCAAACCTCAAACAGAATCCTGGAATATATCAAAATGTAGGAATTCTGAATAATCGAGACTTAGATAATGAAGGGTGAAAGTCGACACCAGGCCCACTCTCAGAAGCATTGGCTGCAAACCTCAAACAGAATTCTGGAATATATCAAGATGTAGGAATTCTGAATAATCGAGACTTAGATAATGGGGGGTGAAAGTCGACACCAGGCCCACTCTCAGAAGCATTGGCTGTAAATCTCAAACAGAATTCTGGAATATATCAAGATGTAGGAATTCTGAAGAATCGTTAATGACAAATAGACTTATTAATGGGGGGTGAAAATCGACACCAGGCCCACTCCCGGAAGCACTGGCTGCAAAACAGAATTCTGGAATTTTTACAGGACACCCCTGGAACTGCAATTCTGTGGTCCAAATGCAGCCCAATAATGTGCAAAATAGTCAAGTATCAAGTCTTACCTTTAAACTTGCCTTTACTAACTAAAGATCCTGATGAACAGGCTGAAATCTGACTAGATTCTACTGTTAACACCAGGGCGGCGCCAGGTTCAGACTCTCCCAGTTTGGACATTTTCTAAAAAGAAACCAAATCACTCTCATATCCAACACTAACACTAAGCTAAGATTTTCTTAAATGCATTTAAGAGAATAGATTTGTCCCCATGGACTGAATGTAAGACAGGACTATGTCACGTTGGTGTAATGGATCTAATTCTGACAATAAATAATTTATGTTTGTCCCCATGGACTGAATGTTGGACAAGACCATGTCACTTCTAATTAATAGAACTAAATTTTAAATTATATGAATACTTACTGGAAAAGAGTTAGATTCTAAGGGAACACAGATTCCCATATCAGTGACAGTAAGTTGGAGAAAGAGGGTACTCAATGCCGGGGTAGTGGCTGGTGAAAACTGAGGTAATCTGTCAAATACTTGACGTGTTGCTGTTATTACCTGGAAATTAATTAACATAATCAAAATTTAATTAACAATATATAATGATTCAATAATTATATTTTCAATGGCACATTATAAGTACAAGATGTAGGTAAAAAAAAGCCGATATGGAGAGATACTTCTAGATTATATATTAATGATTATATTTTTTGAAAATTCGATGAGTCTTGTTTTTTTTCTAAAATACCAAAAACCTAACCTACCTCATTATTTAGGGCCATCCTCTGTTCTGTCCAATATTCATAGGCATTCTTATAATTCAGCCAGACAAGTACAGCTGAGGGTGAAAAAAGAAAACAGAAACAGAAATTATATTTTAAAGGTGGGGTCTTACCTTTATCAAAAGTCTGTGATTCTGAAGAGGATAGGGGCTGGGATGAAGGGGGAAAGGTGGGGTCTTACCTTTATCAAAAGCCAGTGATTCTAAGAGGATAGGGGCTGGGATGAAGGGGGAAAGGTGGGGTCTTACCTTTATCAAAAGTCAGTGATTCTGAAGAGGATAGGGGCTGGGATGAAGGGGGAAAGGTGGGGTCTTACCTTTATCAAAAGTCAGTGATTCTGAAGAGGATAGGGGCTGGGATGAAAGGGGAAAAGGTGGGGTCTTACCTTTATCAAAAGCCAGTGATTCTAAGGGGATAGGGGCTGGGATGAAGGGGGGAAAGGTGAGGTCTTACCTTTATCAAAAGCCAGTGATTCTGAAAAGGATAGGGGCTGGGATGAAGGGGGGAAGGTAGAGTCTTACCTTTATCAAAAGCGAGTGGTTGAGCTAGAACTATGGGTCGAGTAACGCTGATTAACAAAGCCTCTTGATCAGTGGCTACCTCTGGTATCATCTCATCCTACATAATATAAACATACTTTATATAAATCCTAACATTGTATCTTTAACACCCTCGAACCTTACATATTTCTACCATGTTTCATTTTAGCGGGTAAATCATTAGTGACTGAGGTAATAAAGATTCATGATGTCACATGAGTTTCAGAGACCAATCAAATTCATACACACAGCCATTGTTACTTTTTGTTGTGTAAATTTGAGCACACACAAAACTTACGCATAATGTATGAGTACAGGAAACCCCAGCTTTCTTAAAAAACCGAGACATTTTGATTTGGTTAAAAGTCTAAAATTTTCTATCTTACCTGCAGAGCGTTTCTAACTCCTATTTTAGTTTTAAAGAAAGCCATTGTCTGGAATTCTGGTTCTGCTTCTTCAAAAACAGGATTCTACAAAATCATACAAAAGACATGTGAAAAAAAAACATATTACAATAAAGTTTTGTGACATCACTTGGTACCAGCTGCTTCACCAACGCTTGTGTAGAGTAACTCATATATATTTTCTTTTCAATAACAAGAGCATATCTTATGTTTCAGATATAAAATCCTCATCAGGACAGTTAAGTTGAATAACTTATGATGTAAACTAACCTTTAATAACTGTCCAAGTGAAACGTTTAAATCGATCTGGGCTCGAATAAACACTTTCTGATTGTCTTCATAATCTAGAAACAAAAAATAATAAGTGAAACACATGTTTAAAAGATAATTCATCTATGATGATAATCAAAAATATCATTTAATCAGTAAAAGACAATGGAACAATTTAGTGACCTTGACGATTTTGTAGACCCTATACGACCTCTCCGCCCAACCCGCCACTGGGCATATGTTTCTCAACTAGAGGTTACAGAACAATAAACTTACGGATATCAGGATTGAGTTCTCTGGATGCCATCTGAACTCTGTTGGACATCTCTAACTCAATTTCACCAGTTTCTAACCTAACAGCGTTGGAAGTTGGTGTCGTAGCTGTTACCTGGATACCCTGAAATAACGCGGTAAAAAAATTGTCAAATTTGAAGATATCTGACTCTTCTGTGTTCATCAAACCATAACACAATTCAGTCCAATATCACATTGAAAATAGCCTGTATATCAGAAACGTGGCTTCCATAAAGCAACCCTTATGACAGAAAGCTGCAGCTCAATACGTTTCACCAGTTTGATTTGGAAGACAATTATTCCTGCATAAAACTTTGAAGGACATTAAACTCATTATATTTTATTATTTCGTAAGAGTTTATATCAAAGTATCGTGACTAACCTTAAATCTAAAGGAGAATGAGTAGAGTAGAGATTTTCTGGTTGGTGTGGTAGTAGTAGACTGGTCGTCAGCCCATAGATGTACTGGTTGATCAGACCCAGAGACCTTCTGTAATACTTCATTCACTTCCTGTAATCATTCAATAAAACATGGGTGAATCACCAGATACATTTACTGTATAATTGTGAATATAATGCACACCATTGTGGACTCTCTTAAAAGAGATACAGTGGGGACAAATAATACCAAATACATTATCAGCCATGTCGACTCTCTGAAAGGGATGTCAAGTTGACAAACCTTAATACAAAATAAACATAATTAGCTATGTAGACTCTCTGAAAGGAATGTCAAGTTGACAAACCTAAATACCAAATAAACATTATTAGCTATGTGAACTCTCTGAAAGGTATGCTGAGTTGACAAACTAAAAACCCACTTGAACATTATGAGCCAAATAGATCTCTGAAAGAATGCTAAGGTGAGATCCAAATCAAATAGTGGCACCAGATGTTCAACACGGGCACAAAATGACGTGGCACGAGAATTCAAGATGACAACACAATGACCCACCTTCATAAAGACTTTCTGTACAAACACAAGATGATTGAGTAGATCTGTAGTCAGACTGTGTTCCAACATTCCCACTTCTGCTACAGCATTTAAATAACTTCCTTCCTTTAACATCAGTCCTTCTGTCAGTGTGTCTGATACAGGTCCACCTGATTTATACGTCCGATAGTCCGCATAGACATGTATAGGGGGCATCTCAATACTAGCAGACGACGGTATTGAAGTTTCTGTCGTCTGAACCTGAAATACAAGAATTATGTTTTGAAAAAATAGGATCACGGGTAATTGAAAACATCTCAACAAAAACTACAAAATTGGAGATTACTTTTGCCTAAACTCAAGTAAAGTGAAAAATATTGAAGATGAAATCATGCAATTTCTGATCAATATCCATAAGCATTTATCAAAATCAGGTCAAGATGTAGCCTCTATTGCCTTCACAAGCTATATTGGATTGATGGAAAAAATAGATTGGCGTGCAATAACAAGCACAACAAACCTTGGATTTAAAACTAAGAGTATGTTTAGGTAAAACAACAGTAAATCTTGCTTTCTTCCCTGTCATACCAGCTACAGTTATACATCCTGTCTATAAATATATATATAAAAATAAACATTATGTGGACTCTCTGAAAGGATTGTATAGTTGACGAACCCAGATACGAAATATTATTAGTTATCTGAACTCTCTGTAACTGTAATGGATGCATATTAAAAGTTTTCATAATTCAAGCTTCAAAAAGTGGTCTGATTTGCGTCAGATATATAGGCATTTGATTGGCTATCACAAGGGAGATAAATCATGTATTTAAAGTCTGCCGACAGGTGTCATATGTCATAAACCAGAAAAAGCCAATAACTTGACATTGTGAATATGCATTGTGCCTTAAACAACAGTTCATTAAGAGTTGCCCTTACCTTATGTTGAGCTTTAAGAGAAGGTAGAATGGAGGCTCCAATCGTAACACCCTGTAATACAGCCTTAAAATGTATATGCAATGTCACTGGTTTCACATCCTCCGCCTTTTTATTTTTATTGATTTTTTCACTGTCTCGTCTTTTCTCAGCTTCAAGTTTCTCACCACTGATCTGCTCCATGATGTCATGTACTTTACTGAAATATCATAAGAGAGTTCACATTGTAAAAATACCATATAAATAGAGGTGTGTTGACTCTCTGAAAGAGATGCAAAGTTGATACACCTTAATACCACAGAAACCATATTAGTTATGTGGACTCTCTGAAAGAGATGTCAAGTTTACAAACCTAAATACCAAATAAACCTTATTAGCTATGCAGAATCTCTAAAATAGAGGCATCTCTTTCTGAGTGTCCACACACCAATATCCAACCTCTCTGAAGGTATGTGGACTCCACCAAAGGGCACCCTGTTGATGAAACTAAGCTATGTGGACTCTCTGAAAGCTGTAGCCTGATTGAATCTTTAATCCATTTGCAATAACATAAATTTAATACAAACCCATATCTAGATAGAGGACGTCTAAACTCTAACAAAGTTGACGTCAACTTCTTTGAACTTCGTGTCATCATTCCGTGTAAAACCACAGGGTGTTGTGGGATATCTACGTCAATAACGCCGACACTGGCTAACGCAGAGTTATGTTCCTTGCCTCGTCTCATTATAGTAGTATGTAACGCCTGAGATTTACCAATATTCACTGTTACCACAGTCCTAGAGAAAAAGATAACAAACATCCATTTTATACAAGACTAACAACTAGGGTTCAATGAGGATCTTTTTTATCAGCTGGTTCTTCCTCAAACCTTTTAGCTACGTACTTTCCCAGATTACCAGTAACAATTTACAATTTTTAAGGATAACAACTTGTTCTAGCTGATAAGTAAATATCTATACAACTATACAGAGAGCTTAAATTGAGCTCTATCAACTGGTAAAGTAAATATTTAGATGACTATACAGATAGCTGAAATTGAGCTCTATCAGCTGGTAAAGTAAATATTTAGATGACTATACAGATAGCTGAAATTGAGCTCTATCAGCTAATAAAGTAAATATTTAGATGACTATACAGGTAGCTGAAATTGAGCTATATCAACTGGTAAAGTAAATATTTAGATGACTATACAGATAACTGAAATTGAGCTCTATCAACTGGTAAAGTAAATATTTAGATGACTATAAAGATAGCCGAAATTGAGCTCTATCAGCTGGAAACGAAATATCTAGACAACTATACTTCTTAAAGAAAAAAAGAAGACTATACATACTGCATGCTGGGAGGTACGCCCTCCAGTAAAACTATCATGGTATTACCAACATGGGCTGTGAATGATGACTCAGCAGATTTACGATGTAGAAAACCTATCAGTCCAAATATAAAAATATTACAATTATATTATTATCTTTTTGGATTCTCTGAAAGGGATGTTGAGTTCACAAAACTATACACCTCTCAGGATGGGAATTGGGGTTGTTTAGTTGACCCAGACTGTAACCCCAACTCATAACTATAGCCCCTAATTAAAACAGTAGCCACACACTTCCAGTATGATTAATAATCCAAGTTCTACCTTTAACTTTCTCTTTATAAGTTCCACTGGCATGAACTTTCCTTAATTCAGCTTCTAGCTTGAGTCCACTGAGAACTGCCAACATTTGGACTCGTTCTACCTTGGCTATACCATAAACTACTAGAGGTATGCTCTCTCCTATGTAGATACCTGAAAATACAGGGGAGTTTTACACCCTACAAACATTGGTATTTTCATCGGACAGGGTGTGTACTATTTATGAAAACTAGAGGTGTATTTTCGTAGATTTATTAGAGGGTAAAAACGGTGTGCGTTATAATCACAATTATACAGTATACAAGCAAACACAAATCTCTCCAGCTAACATCTTCTGTTCCTTCAACATAAGACACTGACTTGACTTGATGATAGACAGTGACATTTTGGAAGTCACATTGACTGTGTTTTAATTATTATTAAAATTTTGAAAGTGAAATTTAAATTAAACAAATCTTACTCTGTTTAAATCGTGTTCTAATAAAAGAGGTATGTGCTAGAGGTGGATGATCACCTAGTCGACTCTCTTCACTAGCAGCTAAATCTATCTTATTTTTCCCTTCCACCTCATCTTCTTCTACTGGTGTGATATCTCTCTACAATTGATAAACACTAGTGCTTAAAACCCTAGTTCTCAACCTGCAGTACCCTTGGTACCTTGCTAACCTTCTTTTCAACTGGGAATTCAACCCCACCCAGTACTAGTTCCTCACAACCTTGAGGTACCATTAAACACTTGGTCTTTAAGACCAAACCAAAAAGACTTCTCTTACCTTGGACATGTTGTCTTTATCTGACTCTTCTTCAATAACAGGCAATAATTTCTGGTATCCTGGTTTCCGTAGCACCGTCTTAGTTTCTGGCATGGTGGAATAAAGTTCCAATAAATGATATAGGTGGCGCCAACATCGTGGAGTGCTTTCTTTAATTTCGTCTACGATCGTTTTCTCGGCCAGCGCTGGCGAAGATGTATCCACCATATCTATGGTAACTGTATCACTTAGATTTAATGATTGAGGCGGAGTCAAGATTTCTGGTTGATTTCCAGGAGTCGACGCCTTCTTTTTATTATCGCGAGAAAATCGGAGATGAGGTTTTCTAATTGACGATAAGGACAATCGTTCCGGTCGAATACTATCAATCAAAGGTAGTTTAAATGATGGATGTTTAGGTCGTGAAGGAGTTTTCTCCCCTGTGTCTGAGAGAGTGTCGGAGCGAAGGCTATGAGTTGGAGTAGAGATAGTCAAGTCAGCTTGGTGGTCCTGTTTCGACAAATCGGATTGCTGAGTGTCTGCACTCGAAGAAGAATCTTTGGATTCTTGTTTTCGATGAGATCTGGTCCATTCTCCGAGTAAACTGGGTCTTCGTTCTTTCAACTCCACATGAGTCTCCTTGATGTTGTCCACCATTGTTGCAAATTGATGAACCAGTCGTAGCAACGACATGTCTACATGCTGGGTAATTGAATGACAGTTTATCAAAAAGTTAACTTGTAACGTGGTTGGCTTCGCCTCAAGTTTATGCATTGCAAACTTGAATGGATTCTGTTTGCTCTTTTCAGGAAGCGCTGATTTTTCAGCACCGAAATCAATGACATCTTTCATGCAGATATTAATCCCAAAGCTTTCACATTGGAATGCAGGAGTGGCAGCACTAATATTAAGTCGATATCTCTTCCCCTTGCCTTTTCCTTTCGATTTTCCTCTGGATTTGGAATCTTCAGAATCAGCAATTTGTACCTTCAGAACGTCCAAGTGACCTTGAAGCAACAGATGTCCTCCAAACTTTTTCATCATGGCTGATGGACGAACACCTTCAACATGAAGACCAAGACTCTGAAGCAAAGGTTTAAACAACATCTGAGCGTCTGCTAGCTGCATGATTGATGTTGCCATGGTAACATTATCTTCATTGATGTCCGTGCGACTTTCATCCTGGCTCCATGAACTGCCTAGCAACCAAGACTCATGAGCTTTGCCATAACTAACATCCTCATCCATATCTAAGCGCCCTTGTTGTTTGGCCATCCACTGATACAGATCTTCTTCCTTGTTGTACCGGTTCTTTAAAATGGATTGTTTGGGTCCAGTTTGCCTCATTGGCGTTGGAGGAGGGGTACGCACCAAGCCTGTTTCCGAGCTACACAGACTCTCTCCTGCTGACATGAAGCTATGCATACTGTCGTTTCTGGCTATAGCAGGAAGACCAGTGGAAACATGAGCTTTGGGCTCGGGAGCAGAAATGTGGACTTTCGGTTCTGGTGCGTTAACATTATGGTCCTTCAATTCGTGAATATTGGTTTTCGTCTCTGTAGGATGCACACAACTCAGAATATGAGGAAGACCTGGCTTAACTCCTCGTCTAATCAGAATGGGTCCTGATTTCTTCCGTTTGGTTGACACAGTTGAAGCTGAACTTGCACCATCATCCGTGTGACGTCCTAGACTTGGATTAGATCCAAATTTTAGACCACCTTCGGCTTGAAGCAGAGAAGTTTTTTCATCCACCACATCAAATTGATCCATTAACCCTTCACCATCTTCAAATCCCAGTTCTGAACCCTCGGCATCTCCTGGCAAAGCAAACGTCACATTGTATGGTCGGACATTTTTCTTGTTCTTAAAGTTCATTTCTGATAAATACGGCATGTAGAGAACATTTTTCCATTGTCTTGTGAGCGCCAGGATTCCCTTCTGCATGGTAATTAGGTTTGGAATGGTCTCAGAGCAGACAGCCTGTTCCACGGAAGAGGCGCCATATTTATGGAGGTATTTCCGAAGTACAGTGATTAACTGACAGGAAGGTTCTTCTTGGAGAGTTTTAGACATTTTCGTGGCTTTACCAAAACGAGTCTGAAATAGAATTTACATCAAAATGATTGTAAATATGATTTTAAAGTTTTTATGTGTCTGTCTTTGCAGGAACCACAGACGTCTGATTAAAAATTAGAATGGTGCAAATTGATGCTATCAGTGTGTACGATACACATACAAAATTTAGAAAACTCCATACCAAATTTTTAACTTTGTAGACTCTCTAAACGGATGTTGAGTTGACAAATCTAAATATCAAATGAATACTATTAGCTATGTGGACTCCCTGTATAAAACCCTCAATAAAAATCAAAGTTATGTTAGGGCAAGTAAATTAACTCAGTGAACAGTAGCCACAATTAAAATTCTCTTACCTTTGGACTAACATGAATACCCTGTACTTCTAAAGCTTCAGTCATGATACAGGCCAGTACTGAACTAGTTCTATGAGTTAAAACACGGACCAAACTTCTAACAGCTAACATAGCTCTATCACTGGGGTTCATCCAGGCATTGATGGAGGGAGTGGCTGTACTCAATAGGTTCCAATCCAACCTGAAACAGAAAATTAGCTATATGAACTCTGAATAAGGCCCCAGGATAAGAATTTTAAGTTTTTGTGAAACAGGAAATGATTACCGCAAATAAAAATTTGTAAGGTTCTTCAGGGTCTAATATAAATACAATACAATGACCCACCTGGTAAAATCCACCTTCTTCTTGATTGAAATCGGAGGCGGAGCTGCAAAATTCAACCAAATAGTCTTCAGTTCCAATCTGCCATTGGATGCATCCCCCTTTAATGGCTCGATCTTCACTGGTATCATATCTTCAGAACCTTTAGATGCCAATGAGATCCTGGATTCCACAGAAGAGATGGATACAGAACTATGATGTAAGGATTCGGAACTCTGAGGCACCGGATCGTCCGTCGTTGGTGTGCTAGTTTCCGTATGCTGTTCGATCTGTTCTTTCGTTCGTTCTTGAAGATTCTGAAGAGTTTGTTCGATGTTGTCCATTCTCTGTTGAAACTGCATGTCAGAATCATCCTCGTAACCAAGACGACGTACAGCAGTCACAGACACGTCCTCTAATCCACATTCAAACATGATAAATCCAATCACGAAATCTGGATCGTTCGATTCACGACTCGCTTGACGTGACAGACGTCTCTTTGGTGATGTGGGCATCAGATTTGGGCTAGTTACAATGACTTCTGGATTGAATGAAAATATAACATTCGATCTGTAATCTGGAATAGCCGTCAAAACGATATTATCGGAAAAATTACTGTCTTTCACTAAGCGACGTAACTGCATATGAATTCTCGCAATTTGAAGAGTTCCAACATTTTCTTCACGAGTTACTTCCCTTGGAATGACTTGATCTTTATCAATTTCGATGGTGGTTTCAGTTTTTGATTTGTTGGTCGGTGGTTGGGTGCTGGTCCGTCGACTAGCATCTTTCACGTCCGTCAATAATTTACAGGAATGAGTGTTAGAAAGTAGCTGACATTTTATATTGTCAACGCAGACTGCCAGTAACGAGACAGCAGTGACATCGCTAATATTGTCTAGCACGGAAAATGAGATGATTTCTTCAACAATGGACGCTTGTAATACACATATATTGATCTGAAAATATCGTTGAAATATAATAGAAAACATCAATTTATACAAATTGTAAAATACAAAATTTATAGTTATGTAGCCTCTCTGAAAAGAAATGCAAAGATGATAAACCAAAATATGGCTTTTTGGTAGTTTCTTCCTTAAGTAGTAATATATATATCGATTTACATTGAACTTATTAAAAAAAATTTGACCAAAGACTTCCATGTGTACGGACAATATACATCTGAATCTTCATAAGAGTATAATATAATATAAAACTTTACCTTTGGTAGAGAAAAGAAAGCTCTAAATGATGAAGTTTTTGAAATATCAATCTCTTTCTCCTTTTCATCTTTAAATTTCACTGTGTTGTCTTCAGTCATAGCTGTTTCATCTTTTAATTTATTCTGTTGTTTTAAACGATCTATACTCTGATAGTGAATTCGGTCTAACAATGCTGAGATATGTAACTTGCCGAGGGTTGGCGTCACGGTTTCTATATACCTGGAATGAATGAGTGAAGAACTGGATATATGAATGAATGAATGAATGAATGAATGGAATGGAATGGAATGAATGAATGAATGAATGAATGAATGAATGAATGAATGAATGAATGAATGAATGAATGAATGAATGAATGAATGAATGATCTAACATGGCTAGGTTTGGCATCACTGTTTCTATATACATGTATGTGAAATGATTGAATGAATGAATGAAAAAAGGAAAAATGAACGAATTGAATAACCAAAAATGAACGAATTGAATGAACAGATAAATGAATGAATAAATGAAGGAATTAAAGGACCTACCTCTGCATGGATTCAAGTAGCAATGGAGTGAGTAGGATATCCAGTGAACCAGTCACTTTGATGACTGCTGTTGTTTTTGATGTATTCTGGGATAGCTCATCATCTAATTCTTCTTCTTCACCTGATTTAAAGAAAAGGTTAACTTCAAGATATCTGATTGGTCAATACCAGCCAATCAGTGAGCAATATACAAATTTCAAAGTTGCCAAGTTTCTGACAAGCTAGATATACGATTGGATAAAATCGTCAGTGCAATAATATCAACCAATCAGTTCTTAGTAACATATGTTTACAATGTTCTTGAGTTACGGTTGATTGGATAGGACGTAAAACTCCATTCATTTCATTTTTACGGCTGATTGGCTGTAATATCATAAAAGAAATATTTATGATTCTTTCACAGTTTTAATGTTTTTGAAAACAAATAGAGTTTAAATTACAAATCAAACCAAAGTAACAATATAGTTGAGAAGTCTAAGCAATAATGGTGCTGCCTACCTTTCTCTTCGGAGTGACATCGACCAGGGAAGAAGAACTTGGTCTTTTCTTTATGAACTGCAGCTGGAGGTGATGGAAGCTTCAGCTCATCTTTCTCTCTCATCACTGACGTACTGAAACCATCTTTAACCTTGGTGAAATGTGGTAGCCATGCTGATCCAGAACTGTACACAGAGTGACTGGCTGAGGACAGAGAGTATTCCGAGTAAACAGACTTCATTCCTCGGGTGCCAGAAGTCGACAAGTTGGCAGATGGTGGCGCCCCCACCCAATCATTACAATGATAATGTGAGAGGTGGTTCGAGTAACACGATAAAAGTAACGGGGAGCTTGTGATTGGTTGATTAAGTTGATGATGTAAGTCAACGAGCGAGAATTCCTCATGAACCTCCGTGGAGTTCACGCTATCTGCTGATTCGTAGGACAACGTAGAGGAACTGGAAGATGTAGACTCAGATTTTTGGAATTTCATGGTTTGTTCTAATACTGTGGTAGCCATGCTGTCTCCTTTGTCAGATATCGGTGAACTTTGCGAAACTGGTGAACTTGTTGAAAATTTTTGGTCTCGTGATGGAGGTGAACTTTGCATGTATTCACCGAACCCTTCAGGAGATTCGTCAAATACAGGAAGTTGTATGACGGAACCAGATTCCGAGCTGGTTAAGTCTTCCTCGGCAGAATAGTACTGTTGACTTTCCAAAGAAACTTGAGACATCATCCTGGAAAAGCCCTCACCAGATACAGGGCTGGGTAGGGAGGTCCTTGATGGGGATTTGGTGGAGGTAGAGCTTCGACTGCTCTGTCTGGAGCATGTGACAGGAGATGAAGGACTGCTAGTAGATAACATCTGTTTCAGAGAAGATTTCCGTCCTGGACTGTGTTTACCGGAAGAACTCAACGACCCTAACTCTGTAGGAGTACCACACGTTGTTACAGATTTACGAGACTGCCTGTCTGATCGTTCGTTTGGATCATAAAGCTGGGTTTTGGAATCACTAGAGAAACTGACCTCTCCACTCTGTCTTTTGGAGGAAGTGTCCTGCTCACTGACGCTTCCAACAAGACTTGATTCAAACAGTTTGGTCCTATCTCCAGGAGTCTCAGGACTGGCGATGTCACTCATGTAGCCTCGGGTGAAGGAGAACTCAGGGGATTTCTTTTCCGGAGAATCTTTCTCCATGTACTGGCTGACATCAAAGACTAATTTGTCTTTGTGAAGCAAACTCTGAGCGAAACCAGGATCGTGGCCGTCTGCACAGATTTGTGGAATGGCAGCTGCATTTGAATTATCTTTATGACGTCTCGGCCTAAAAAAGGCAACACCATTTTTATTGTTTCCAAAAAATCTGCAACCTCCTTGACAACCACATTTACCCAATGTATGAGGATGGTTGCCAGGACCCATGGCTTCTAGTGGCCACATAAACCATAATCGCTTAGTTTTCCGATCGTGAACTTTAAGAAAATCATCCTGTACAACTTGGATCTCTGGAGAAGGTATAGCCATCGCAGCTTCTATATGTATAGGTCCGAGTGAAAAGCTTCCAGCATCCAACCATTCTTCAGGGCTGGCTCGTTCGATTCGTAAGGGAACACACGATATCAACTGCCTGAAAGATATGTGTTCCAAGATGGCCGTTATACCAGCTCGAGTTTCAGGTCCGTGTAGATTGCAAGTTGATAAGCGAACAGGGTTAACCTGAAAAAAAAAATACAGAAAATGTTGTAAAGAAAATCAACAAAAAAAGAACGAAAGACCCATTTTTACAAGGATAACAACTTGGGTTCTCGAGGATCCTGTCTACCAGCTGGTCTTTGTCCAACACCTATTGATATTGATTTTACAAGGATAACAACTTAGGTTCACTAGGATTCTTTCTACCAGCTGGTCAATGAACTAACCTGACATCCTTGACATCGATTTTACATACTCTAGAATCCTGTCAATCTCATCTTAATCAACAAACCCTGTGACAATGAATTTACAAGGATAACAACTCAGGTTCTAGTGAATCCTCTTCACTGTGTTGTTTGGCCACCCTTCTTGGCATTGATCGCTTCCAGATTATCTGTACCCATTTAAAGCTGTTTCGACTGGAATAGTCTTATCTTTAAGTCCTAGTTCCAAACCTAAGGTATCACCATGTAGTACTTCAGAAGTCACAATTATGATCTCAAACACTGTTGTTTTGCACACTAAAGGCTCTCTTGAAATTCAGCACTTTTCATGCTCTAAGTTGGCTTACCTTTAAATTAAAAGCCGCCCCGGACTCCACCATAAATAAATTAACATTATCAACTGATACTCGAACCATTCTGTATTTGATGTCTTCTGCTGAGGGGCAGGGGAATGGACATTTTGGTAGCATACGACACTGGGGTTGCGGTAACATGTGCTGACATAGCTTATAGGGTACTGGTCGCTGGAGTCTATTCTCTGGATCATCTACCAGCATTATAAATGTCTGGATAAACTCTGCTATATTCTGAATCTGAAAATAAAGGGGATGTCCAAGCTCAGTGTGTTGAACGGCTATCTAGCTACATGTATATTAGCATTTTGAATTTCAGATATTTGCGCATGAATGAAAATTGAAATGAATCAAAACCAAACCCAAAATTCTTCATTTTGACTATCTATGAGATCTGAAATGACCAAATTATGGGGTGGATCCATTTTGATAAGAGTCCATTTTGATTAAAGGAGTAAAAGCAAACCAAGGCTTACTTGTGGCGAAGTCAGTTTTCCAGTTACTTCCCCTATGATAGCCTCCACCAACCAGGCGTATTCCAATGTCTCACTATCCAATGGCAGGCCTTTGTCAGAAAACATGGCGTGTCCACGAACTTGCAGACCAGATAGCGCCAAATGACCTTCCTTTAAATGTTCCTGTTCCAATTCTCGTGACACACTGTCCCTCGCGATTAAAACACACGGTGATAGTAACAGTTGTAGTTTTGTTTCTTCGTACGATTTGTCCATTTCAAAACACAATCTTTCTACATGTAAGCTGGGGCAGGCTACATCATCTGGGTTGCAATTCTAGAAAACAGAAAATAGAAAAGATGAAAAAAATATCAAAAGTTAAGTTTTTCTCATGAAAACCCCAAGACTCTAAAATAACTAACACTGTACCTTGATTAGCTGGGCCTGTATATCGTGTAAAGTGACAGATACAGTGACTGCAAAGGGGCGATACTCCCGGGGGTCAAACTGAGCAGGCTGACCCTCATCATGTATCTCTGTATTATGGACGTGTCCAGTATCAATGTCTGTATTATCATTTGAGCTGTCGGAAAAATCATGGATTTTCTGATCCTCACCAACATAATTTTCCTGAAATTTTAAAAGAAAAAAGGAAAATTTGCAAATCATAAACTTTCATAAGTATTTCAATGATGGAAATGTTGGACAGCTTCACGATCTGCTAGCTAGTCGGACAGCTTCACGATCTGCTAGAGAGTTGGACAGCTTCATTATCTGCTAGCTAGTTGGACAGCTTCCAGCTTTACGATCTGCTAGCTAGTTGGACAGCTTCACGATCAGCTAGCTAGTTGGATATAATATTTCATTTGCCTGACAAATAATCAAAAAATACAGTACCTTAATATTGTACAAGTTAACAAGTAGGGCACCGTAAAGACATATCACAGAGGGCGCTACTTCTAGCTCGATGTTAACGATATCCGGGTCCCATTTCGAGGCATCAAAATCTTCAGGCTGTAGTGGAACTTTATTTGAATCAGATACTGTTGGTCGCAATGGTTGAAGCAATGTTTCTTCTTTCTCAGGTGTCGTCAAGTCCTCCAGATCGTTGTAAGATTTTGACAAGGGCTGTAACTCTGGCATGGGATGAAAGGTATAGTTTATAGACAGAGAGACGTTAGACGTCCACCAGCAGTCCACCCAGCCAAAGCTAAAAATATAAAATTCAGTTGAAAAGAGAAAATAAGGTTTTCATGTGTATTAATATATAGCTTATATCTGGGACAGATCAATTCTCAGAGATTTGAACAAGGATCAGCTGGTAGACAGGAATGGTGCAAATTGATGCTATCAGTGTCCTCGCTTCACATAAATTTTTTAGAAAACCTCTTTTCAATCCCTTTACTTATCAATTAATTGAAGTATGGCTTGTAAAACATCTCAGGATGCACCATTTGTCAACTCATAACCAAGCCACACCTACCTCTTTTCTGTGATATTTCTCCATTGTTTATTTTTAGTAAATGGTTTATCAACCTCTATCCCATCTCGATCTACTATTTTCATGTTCTCTGACAACGCTATGATAATATGTCTACTGGTGTACGTTTCTGGTAGATACAGTCGACAATAAACAGTTTCACCCTACAAAGTATAATACAAGCGTTAATTCAATCTAGTTCAAAGAGAGTTTTTGATTGATGGAATATTTCAATGACCTTGAACACATGTGGCAAAACAATTTCTTTAGATCATGAATCTACAGACAGAAAATCATCGTGCCAGCCAAAGTTTGACTTTGCCCATACTTAGATGACCTAACTGTTCTTACATGCTATTCAAGGTTAAGGAAGACGGGCAACACCATGCAGTGTGTGATGAGCCACATCTTGCCTAGACAGCGTCCTTAGCTTTACTCTTTTTCGATTTCAAAATGTAGAAGAATTTTTAACATGCACAGTCTGTAGAACAAGGGGCCTAGGTTTATTGTCCCATCCTAACGCCAAAGACGCTTTTTCCATGTCAGCCTCTCTGAACTACATCACAGACAGAGGGAACTAGGATGAAACTAATGAAAGAGCCTTGGAGTGTGAAATGAGGGAATGTATTCAAGATTAAATAATGTTCTTACCTTAATGACTATTGGTATAGGACAAGTTTTTGGTAGAAAATCAACAAAAGGTAATTGTAGAGAGAGATCGAAATATTCACCACAAAACGCAATCCGAGCTAAAATATACAAACAATATTGTCGAAAACAATTTAAATTTAAATATCACATCACTTGGATCAAAATTTGGTAGATCTATTTTGTTTGTCCCAATTCATAATCCTCACAGTAGGGAACAAGACGCTTGGGTTCGAATCCTTTTCAATGAAACTGATTTTGACAGTCAGTCTTGTGCTGGCTTTGATCTCCTATCACTAAAAAAACACCTAGCTTCTATTCTTGAAAAAGTTAAGCTTGTTATCTTGTCATCCCAAATTTAAAAATTAAGAATTCATGACACTCACCATTTTCTGGCGTCTGTGAGGAGGTGTCAACCCAATTATACTCGTTCGTCATGGCAATTAGTTCAAATTCTTTAATTATTAGATTTAAACTCCAGGTATATGGTATAAAATTATAAATATCTGGTCGAGCCTTGCTGGACCAATCATTTACCAAATCTACAACAGGAAACTCATATCTTTCATCTTTTCACTTAGTTGGACAAATTAAAAGGATTGTAAAGAGGTTTTCTTAAATTTTTATGTGTATCGGGGACACTGATAGCATCAATTTGCACCATTACACTTTTCAATCAGATGTCTGTGGTTCCTGCAATTCCACTAAAACTAAGTGTTAGGTGACATCATTAATCATGAAGGGCCTAAAGTAACAAAGCATATTCTGCAATAAGTGATCAAAAACTTATTTTCTACATAAGATTCCGAGAGCTAGACTCCTAAATGACATAGTAAAAGAGTGTAAGAATTAATACCTTTAAAGAAGTCCATATGTTCAAAGATGGCCGTGACTGAGGCTTTACATGCCGTCAAATCACAATGCCAGTCTTGATGTTCATTCCATCCCAGTGGATAATGTAATGTTACGTCAAACTGAAAATAGAATAACAATAAAGCGAAATAAATAGTGTTTGATATCCGACTTTTGTGAACCTGATTGGCTAATGAAGATAGGCAACGATGCAGTGTGCAATGAGGGAAATTTTGCAAGAAAGAGCTTTAATCTACCAATACTTTTTTTTATATTTCCAAAGGTTGAGGAATCTTCAATATGCACGGTCTGTAGCGCATTAGTTTATTGTCCCTCAAAAGAAACCAAGTTGAAATCCAAATCTATTATCTTCATTCATGGAATCAAATAAAAAACAATAATTTACAGCTGAAAACAGACATGTCTGGTGAATAAAGACAGAACAACAATCCTTAATACAAACCTCTAAAGTTTCTAACTCGGCTAAATTACGGAATACCATACTAGTAGATGCGTCTAACAACATCAGTTGACCTTTGACCTTAGTTTTAAATCCATCTTTCTCCGTGATCCAAGGTATGACAGCTTCGATATACGAACCTTGACTGGCATTCATATGAATAGCTTGTGTTTCCTGCAAAATAATTTCTAGTCTTCAAAATTGGTACAGACTGCTGCCCAGCAAGGTACATAAGCCACCTTATATCAAGGGCTGTAACTCATGAAATATAGATAAAATTGTGCTCAGCTTCGAACTCATCCAAATACAAAGCTACATGTGTTTGTAAATTTTAAAATTAGAACAATATAAAAAACATGTATAATACTTACTGAGTTTTTGGTGAACAAAACATCGAATGTGGCTGACTCTGTACAATTAATCTTAGTTTCAAACGATTTATAAATTCTACGCTGACCTGGCTCAGGTTCCTTGGTAACCACTAGCGGTTGATAATCAGGAGGGTAGAAAAACTTCCATAACTGTTCTCTGATTGGATAAAAATAAAATAAAGAGATAATGAAAGTAAAAACCAAAGACATATTTGAAGGGAAAAAAGTGTTGGGTTCTTTGAATGGATTAATCGACCAAGGCCAGGTGTGTTTTAGGCTCCTAGCAAAGTTACTGTCGTCATTAACCTTATCAGTTAGAGAAAAGTAGGATGTAAACTCAGGATCTATCAAATACAAACAGACTGTTTAGATTTACTTACCGTTGTCTATCAACCCAAGGACCATAATTAAAATCTGTTTTTTTACCACATTTAATATCTACCCCGAGACAAGGGTAGGTTCTCCTGACTATAACTTCCCCGTCTGCCATTTCTACCAGCTCCGGTTCATGGGGTACCAGACCTAAATTACAGACAAAATGCAAGATAAAATAGGGAAACAATTTTTAAAAGTTGTCCTTAGAAGAATATTGTGGCGATGCAAATTTCGGAATTCCAATATTTATGAAGCATATTATTGTATTTTTTCAGTAGATATGTCAATTTGTGAATTGGCCGACCCACAAACTCGAATCCCAAAAGTACTTTCATCAGATTTATAAAGACTGAATAAAGATGTTGGTAAAAACAGAATATGTTACCTGGTTCGTCCATATAGTAATAAATATCAACATCATTAGACTGCATTATAACAAACCCTTCACCCATATTACGTGGGGGACTGAAAACAAATAATAAACTCTTTATTTTACAATGGCAGTTACAGGAAAAAAAATAATATATAAGTACATTTTAAACTTCTTAAATCAACAAATGCAATTTAACACAATTTGCCCAATTCTGAACAATATAGAAAGCATGTTCTTTGTAAAACCTTTTGACATTGATCTTTTCCAGATAAACCATACCCACTTGTCTGGGTATAGTTGAATTATGAGTGATGATGACTAACCAAGATTAGAACCCACGACCATCATTTGTTCTATGTAACAAAGCTAATGACATTAGTAAAATGCTCAAATCGAATGCGCTACAGTCATTCCACAAACTGTTCATAGAAAAGTTTTGACTGAGCATTTTGATCCTTCACATTGCTGAAGTGTACAAGGAGTAAGGAGGGGGTGGGGCCCAAAGGGGTTTCCCCAATCCTAACATACTTACACATCTACTACAGGTCCTTTATTATATTGAGGGCTAGGCACCATCATAACTCTCATATTCTCTGATTTACATTTTACAACGTGCATAAACATATCAAACGGTGTTGATGCAGGCTTCGTGGTATATACCAGATGAGCTTCTTCAAAACTAGCCAATAGGGTGTAGGGTAACATAAAATTACCAAATATAAAACGAACCTACAAATAAATAACAAATTTACTGAAAAACATCACTTCAGTTCAATAGCAAAAAGTCTCTTTGAGAATATCTAAATGTCTGTAAAATACAGGGAGGTAGAATAACAACAAAATATTAACTAGATAATTACCAAGATACCACATATAAAACTAATCTATAAATAGGTTTTAAAACTATCTTTCAATTGAATTTAAAACCTAATTCAAGAAAATATATTCAAAATTTGAGAATACAGAAAAACATTTTTATAATCAAACCAAGATATCTGCCTGGTAGAAATGATATGAAATGAATGGTGTTTTACGTCCTACTTTTCTGCACCAAGTGGGCTAATGAAGATGGGTCTGCCTGGTAGAGCCAGAAAAACAAGGTCTTCAACTTACAGAGTTAATATCAACTTTAATAACAGGAATAAGATCTCTCCAATGTATTGCTTCTTTTGGTACTTGTAACCTAGATAATAACGTTAAAATTCATTGACTATAATATTACAATCCAATCTAATCGCTGTATATAAACTATGGGATACAAGAAATTTTGCCGAATGTCATGGTTTAAAGGTGCCCTCACACCATACCAATCACCAGTGGTGTATTATTGCAAATGAGAATAATGGTCTTACGTTTTGAACGAAACTCTCATGCAACTGAGTTGTGAATTAGCCTTCAAAACATGAGAACACTTTCATAAATCGCAACCCTACACAAATGGTGATCGTTAAGTTAAGATACCTTTGTTTGTTATACCTTGAAATTGAGAAGATGAGTCTTACCTAGCTGGAACGGTTTCGTCTAAATCATCACCCGGTTCAGGCATCATACTTGGTTTTAAACCCGAATAATTTCTCTAATCTGGCATAATATTTAGAGCGGTTGTAAACGTGGAATTCTAAACCATCCACAAATAACGACACTCTTGTTTCAGAATGGGACATATCTACAAATAAAAAATACATTTGAGCTCTTTCACTCTAACAACACTAGCAGCAGCTCTTACAGATTTGATATACCCCCTAGTGTCTAGCGAAACTAAGTAATGTCAAATAGCATTAAGTAACTAATGTTCAACAGCCATTTCTCGAAAAATCTTAGCCTAATATTAATTCAGTGATCTAGTCATCTGATTGGTCAATCACAAAAATTGACCTTAAATTTATCATAATTAACCTATCAGATTACTGTATTTCTGTAAAATCCTAATTTTATATCCTTTTACAAGTTATATTCAGTACCATAATTAATCTTACCTTCATTAATAGCTTTATATACATATGGCCTCCACCAGCGAAATATAATCCAACCAAACTGCATACGTAATGAATAATCTTCTGTTATAATGTGAAAATCACGGAACATAATTTTACCAGATAATACAGAGAACGAGAAAGAGCCTGGAAAAAAGAATCAGGTCACTTAACTTTTGTTCAATCAGTTGGAGGTAGAAATGGTATTAAACAGGTAGACTCTTAGGATTATCCAATAAAATTATAAAAAGGTTTAGAAACAAGATACTGCATGGACAGATGAGCTAAGAGGATATCGTCACTGTAGAGCAAAGTTGAAAAAAGAATCAGACGTCAATTTATTTTCGTCACAAGAGTTGGATGTAGAAATAGTATCAAAGAGATAGGCCAGATCACACACTTCAGAAGAAAAATAAGAATAATTAAAAGAATATATGGATCCATTCTGAAAATATTTTTAAAATGGCAGAGTCAGATGTCCTCGGAAAGAGTAAGCACTCACTGTCCAATAGACTCACTGCTGCAAGAAAACACTGAGACTGGTGCCAAAGGAAGATAGAATAACAAAGCTAGGTGTGGAACATATTTACTCACCAAATTTAATATGACCATAATAGGGATAGAATCTGTTGAGGATGACCCCAATAATGACCCCCATGACCCTAGAGTGATAGTAAGTGAGGTATATCGTCCACGCCATGGCGATCACTATCGATAATAACATATAATATACATTAGATTCTGCCAATTCTTCTTCAATCTGTTCAAACAATGTTTGATTTGTATCTCGTGATCTGTAACATATAAAATATTAATTTAAAAAACAAAACAACTACTAAAACATTCTATTAAAGAGACAGTGTTAACTAATTTATAGGGTATATTATGAAATACTGATATCATAGCAGTAATGAAAAGCTAATGATAAAAAAAAATTGAAAAAAAAAAACTGTTTTTACCAAAGTTCATTCAAAGATTAGATTTCGATAAATATTTTTCAGCTTTGGAAAGTGTTTTTGTATCTTTCCTCAAATCATTGAAAAAAAAAAAAAAATACATCCACATTCCTTCATTTGACAGCCATAAAAATAAATTAAGCTTTTGTGAAGATTTTTTCCAAATTGATTTCATACCTTAATTTGATAGCCATATTGGAATTTAAATATGAGTTGAATTTAAAATTGAATGAAAAAAAAAACTGGTATGATGACTACTCCTGTCTTGTTATAAATAATGTAATTCTGGTTTAGGTCACATCAACATCATCTGCCATGTTGTTTCCATGTCATTCTTACTTGTCACTGTCTGAAATTAAAAATTGTAAGTTGTAAAGGTTGGCATGGATTCCAAATCCAAGTATCTCATTTTATGTTATCTGTTGCAGTCAACAGTTCCTAAAAAACAGATCGTGAGCAACTATAAATCTCTCAAATGATTGATCAGTAAAAATCAAGTTGCTCCTTATTCTGCAAGTCACAATGCAGGTTGGGTCAGCTTGATCTCTATTTGGCATATTAATGTCAAAGCAATGTAACTATTCTACAAACAGCAGAACTAAGAACTATTCAAAGACAATCATACAATCCAGTGTAACCCATACAGATGATAACTTAGATGAGTTACTGAACACCAAGAAAATCTGACAGAAATTTCCATGTCGTAAGGCAGGTCAAATGGAAATATTTCAAGAGCAGACAAATGTAAACAATTGCGTCTCTACGATAAAACATGATCAAAATGGCAACAATGCAAAAATAATGAACTAGGATCAGAGTTTAAGTCTTTTGCTACCGTTTGCACTTACTTCGATGATAATCGAACACAATTATGGTTTTTAATCCATAAATTTAAGATAAATCTTCATAATATTAATTTTTAGACGACATTTTGCAGGGGAGATAACTCCTAATCAAAGTTGTGGATTTCTTTTTGAAGAAACGAAATTTCATTTCTTGACAAAAACATTTCAGGATCAAATTGGGGAGATTAGGCATCTGACATACTTTAGTAGACTATAACAAAAAGTGTCCAAAGGTCAATCAAGACAACTCTGACCGCTTTTGATAATAAGTCAAGATTAACTGCCCATTTCACTTATCAACAACGAGATTATTGGGAATGGGATTAATCACTGGATTAGATGATTTGAAGTCATAAAGCAGCTGGTAGTCGTAAAACAATTATTTAGACGACTATACAGATAGCTGAAATTGAGCTCTGTAAGCTCGCGAAGGAAATATTTAGACAAATATACAGATAGCTGAAATTGAGCTCTGTAAGCTCGAGAAGGAAATATTTAGACAAATATACAGATAGCTGAAATTGTTCTTTATCTGCTGAAAAAGCAAATATTTATCCCTTTACATCTACTTGGTCTATCTTGCATATTATCTGAAAAGATTTAATTTTGGCTTAGTCTGTTACCAGGCTGGCAGGTCGGTAAATCATCCCCACCTTTCATTATCAATATTCAGATGGGCTTCACGCGCTTCACTCAATCAATAAAAAAAATACAGAGACTCGGATTAACATATCACGTGACTGGGGCAACTGGACAAAATGGCTGACCAATTTGATGAACCGAAATCGGGTACATACATTTTTTGAATTATTGCTAAAATAGGCTTTCTGTTTCCAAATAATCTGATGCATTTGGTTCGAATAAACCTAAAGCAAGTGTTAGCTGATCGACAATCTGATCTGGATGTTTTAAATGCGATTAATTGACGCTTTTGTTCCAAAATTGTTCTTGGTTAGTTTGATTAGCCCACGTGACAGGAAAGATCTGTGGCTCTGCAAGTCGGTGTTAGCTCAGAGTCAGAGTTGATCTCAGATTCGAACAACTGTCAGATTTTAAACTGGATTTTTGTTTGTGATTCTCAAAATGAAATACCACACGTCATGTTATTTGACGTTTGTCTTCTGCCCTTGTCTTTGTTTACCCTATACTTATACTATGTTCGAACTAATTTTGGAAAAAGCACACTTCCATTCCCCCAAAATATTATTGTTGGCCTTACATGTGACCCTGAGAAGTATTCTGCCGTTTAGAACGAGCTTAAAGTTAGAATTTTCAACATGGAGAAGACAGTAAGTTTACAAGTAATATATACTCTTCAGTGTGTCTTACGTGGTGTTATAAAACCATACAAATTTTCAAGACCTTTTTTATTATTTTAGATGTGGAAGTAGAATTAAGAAGTCAACTGGGCTCTCTCCGTGAAGAGTTCGTAAAGTTGCAGGACCATCTGGCAGACGTGGAACTCCGGTACCAGACAGCTCTAGCTAGTGATGGCAAAGATGGCAGATTTATTCTTGATTTCATCTCTAGTTTGTTTAACCAGTCTCAATATAGGTAGGATTTCTTTACAAATTACAAACCAAAAGCATAAAGGACTGTTGCTCTTTTCCTCTAAAAATCTTTTGATATGAATTGTCCTAAGCATGTATTATGAACTGTACCTTTTATTTACCTTAAATAACAGAACACAATTTTATGGTATACTACTCCTTAGTTTTATTACACACTACGTTTCAACAATCTACATTGTCATCTTCAGTTTATATAGTATAGAGTCCATCGAATCAGCACGTTTAGGGTCAGACATATACAGTATACTACTCCTTAGTTTTATTACACACTACGTTTCAACATTCTACATTGTCATTATCAGGTGAAGTGAGGAAATATGTACAAGAAGTTATACACAAAAAATTATGTTCCATTATTTAATGTGATTTCTACCCCCAAATGTCGCTGAAGGATTATTATTTACCTTGTATTATATTAAAAACAAATTAAGAAATTGGGGACTCTAATTGTAGAGATATTACTTAGTATGAATCTTATTTAAGTTGTATTTTTATTTCCAGTGATGTAAAGGTTTTATTAAAAGGGGGAACAACTCTATTTGGACATAAATTAATTCTAGCATCCCAGAGTGAGCAATGGGGAGTTAGTGATTTTCTACTTGTGGACACCTTAGATTTATCAGGTAGGATTAAAAAGCAAACTAAGCAAACCACATAACACTCTGTTTCAATATTTGTATGTTTTATTTATGAACTTTGAAATAGCCCAAATACAAGCAAATAATCTTACAGATTCACTGAGCAACTCTCCTCTGCCTGTAAAACAGTGCAAAGGTTTGAGATTTCGCTTTAAAAATATGAGGTTTTGCAGCTCAAAGGGATTTGACAAATTGTATTTGTATTGTTTTTTTTTTTATTTTAGATTTAGACTATGAAGTGGGGTATACTATTATTAAATGGGTGTACACCAGTCAACTAGATAAAGACAAGGAAGATGGCTACCTAGTAGATCTGTTTAAAATAGCTATCAGACTTCAACTTCAACCTCTAGCTACCAGGTTGGTCTCAATTTTTTTCTGAAACTTTCTTAATTTGCACTTTGTCTCAAACCTTGTCTCCAGATTGTTAGTGTGGTTCCAGGGTTAAGCAATTATATTTGATGACTTCCAAGAAAATTCAGTGTCTGTCTTTTTATCTGTAGAAATGTTATGATTTTAAATTCCAGGGTACAACAACTGTTGACAGAGAGAGTCGATATTAGTAACAGTGAAACCTATCATCAACTAGCCATCACTCTTCATGCTAACTTACTTAAATCATACTGTGAAAGCCTCGTTTTTAAATGTCCTATACCAGTAAGTATATTCCTAGTCTAATCAAAATATATCAAACTTTCCTTTGCAAGTTTTTGCTTGCTAAAGCAACCCTTCCAGTTAAGATCTAACTACTCCCTTTTTGTTTCTTCATATTACACTGGAACAATCAGAACAGACAAATGAAAATCTTGTTTGAATAATGTTCAACACAATGACTACTGGACAAACTGGTCTATTGCTCTGCCGAATATACCAGTCCACCTGTTTGTTTGCATCACATAATCCCAGTGCTGAAGAGGGGAAGAAATTTCATTATTATAATTTCAATTAATGTTTTAGTGCTTCCGAGAAAATTTTGTGATCGATTGAATTTTCAAATTACAGGAATTGCCAGTCCTTAATGATAATAATGATGATGATGACAACCAGGATGATGAAGATGATGAAGAGGAAGAAGAAGAGGAAGACAATGAGGTTGATGATGATGATGATGAGGATTTTACAGACATTAAGGATGATCAACGAATCAAAGAAGAAAAGATGGACGAGGATTTTGAGCCAAAAATTAAATTAAGGAATACACGACAAAAGGCACAAACATCTAAGAGAAAGTTAGAAAAACGATCTCCAAAAAAGGGGACACAAACCAAAAAGACTAAAAAGAAAGCTAGATTTAACCCATCAAGATACATTGGTGATTCTTTGAATTGTTTTTTCTGCTGCGTGGAATTTGCAGACGTCGCTAGTCTAACAGAACATCTTGAGGGGCATAATGGACAAAATAATCCATATCAATGTAACAAATGTGACGTCAAGGGTTTAGCCACTAGGAAACTGTTGCTACGTCACTTGGCCAAACATAAGAGCAAATCGTGTCGATTTTGTGAACAAGAGTTCGACGGTGCGGAGAAATTGAAAGCACATTATGCATCAGATCATCCAAAGAATGCTCGTTACAAGTGCTTAGTCTGTAACAAGATATATAACAAAAAGACTCCATATGTAATCCATCTTCGTGTTCATACTGGAGAGAAACCGTATACATGTGAGGTTTGCGGACGTGCTTTTAATGAACGTGGAAGTTTAAAAGTACACAGTCGTCTTCATACGGGGATCAAACCCTTTATTTGTGAACTTTGTGGAAAGGCGTACTATTCTAGTACCTTACTAAATAAACATATTCGACTCCATGACCCTAACATGGGTCACCCCTTCGCGTGTCCAACGTGCGGCCAAAAATTCACACAGAAATGTCACATGCAGACGCACATGATGATACACACCGGAGAGAAACCTCATCAGTGTAATTATTGTGGAAAAACTTTCACTGATCGTAGCAGTTTTAATCGGCATAATAAAACTCATACTGGAGAACGTCCCCATGTTTGTTCATTGTGCGGGAAATCGTTCATTCAACGCGTTCAGTTAGTGAAACATAACCTGAGTCACGAAAAACAAAGACTGTCATTTCAAATGAAGTATGAAAATCATCAAATGCCTTGTTGAAAGAAATATTTAATATTAAGTGACAGAGTATTATCCAATCAGATCACTGTATTTACAAAAATCGGGATTTTAGCCTATTCAAGTTTTCGAGAATAAGGCCATTGATTATAATGAGTGTATTTTTTTTGGTTTACTTCACTCAGCAAGACAGCTGGGTTCGAAATTAGGGTAAAAACATTTCTTTAACATGTCTAAAACTGTTACCTTTTTCTTCCATGTTTCACTTTAGGAGGTAAAACTCGTATTAGGAACAAATACTTAAGTCCAGTGGATAAAGCAGGCTTTCCCACCCATCTTAATCAAATACTAAATAAATGTATCTAGTCTGAATACAAAACATAAACATGGGCATTCATCATTAATTTGGGTACTTCATAGTTCAGCAGGGGTATTACAGCTCATCAGGGTCTAATTCAAATCTTCTTCATATTATAATAAACTAGTTATAAACAATACACGTCGTGGATAAAAATTACTCCTTTATCAACAATGCAACGTTTTAAACAATGGCAAATGAATTAATTCAAACTACCTCAGTATGGACAGAGATAAAAGCAGTCATTAAACTTGAGGTCGTTTGAGTTTATTCTGAATAGTTTCTATTAATATTTATTCTACCTAAAAAAGGAAAATGGATTTTTTGTTTGTTTGAAATCGGATCCAGATTAGCCGTAATATCCTAGCTGGACGAACTGGACTACAAAACAAATAGAAAATTAAACCAAAAACATAGACTTTTCTATCCATTAATAGGCGACTGCCTGTGTTTATGTTTGAATTTGACTCCAATAATCAAAAGTTTGTTACTGTTTGTTGTGTTAGTATCTGAATCTATTATTTATACTATTCAAGTAGAATTATACTTTATTAATGTGACTATTAGAGTTGTATTTACTCTGTCACGACTTATCCCAAGTCAGTGCAAACTCCCCAATCTCTAAAGCTCCGCCCTACAGCCCCAACCAACAGGCAAATATCTATATATGAGTGTAATGTGCGTTTACTTTTGTCCAAAATCCTTACCCTAGTGCAAGACACCCCCCCCCCCCCCCCAAATCCAAATATTTTCAGCCGCGACTGCTCCCGCCCATAGCCACAACCCACGGGAAAACATCTATAGCCTATATGAGTAGAAGAGGTAAAGTTGTACATTTACCCCTTGTCCTAAATGCCCACCACAGTGTCCGTGCCCTCTCCCCCAAATCTAACGTTTTGCAGTCGTGACTGCTCCACCCTATAGCCCCAACCGACATGAAAACATCTATACAGATGAAGTTAGTGATATTTAATGATTATAATACTCCGTATGTTGCAAGTCTTCGTACAGTTCTTGTTGATAAAGAGCCCCACCCCCTTGGACTGGCTGCTCGTAATTTTCTTCCCGGGCACGACCATTGGCCTTTCCACGTCTCCCCATCTTCAATTCTAAAATAGAAATAATTTAGTTATAATAGTAGATCTAATACTTAACCAACTTCGCACCCAGCTTCTGTATCTATAAAGTCAAAAAAATTCACAAGGTCATAAGACAGTTTAAAACATTCCCGAATCTCTACCGCCCCAATATCGCCATCTTCACAATGCCAAGCTTATACCTTGACTGCAATAGCCACCTTTCTTGTATCACATACGTTTGTAAATGAAGCGATTTGATTGTATTGTACGGTAGAGAATACAGCCAATTAGAGGCCTGCATAATGCTACCTTCTATGATACAAGAGAAGTGGCTATTGCAGACAAGGTAGGAGACGAAATTTGTTATAGTTTGACATTGTAAAGATGTATCCCCTCTAGTCTATCATGACGTCTATAAACATGTATAAAAACCAGCATCCCCAACCCCATCTTCACACTGGTCAAGGTATTACGTCTTCATCTTATACCTTGACTGCATTGGTTCTCTTGGTTCACGGACTTTTGTGAACGAAGTAATTTTATTGGATTATACGCAAGCGAATACAGCCAATCTGAATCTTTGACAGAAAGACGGTAGAAAATAATAATGCACAAAACCGAGGGGTTTTGCTGAATTCGCTGGAATACAATCCAATCAGGTCGCTGACCGTGAAACAAAAAGGTGGACCATTGCAGTCAAGGTGTAAGATGAATACTGTATACCATAACCATTGTGAATATGCCAGAACCCCCCATGGTTATGCAGTAACAATAACGTACGTGTTGAATAGCGAGGAACCTCTGGTCTATCCTCTCTTGATGGTGGATGTGGTTTTCGTTTCGCCAAATCTTTCAAACTGAAAAAATGCCATTTGATCGTTAGATTATAAATAACTCGGGGAAAGAAGCCAGAAATTCACCAAGTGAAGAGAGGAAATTGAGCAAAAATGGTTATTTCAAGTTTCTTCATATCCCCATTATTGGTTTTGACATAGTCTCGAGGAAGTATGAGGAATGGGGTGTGGTTTGGACACGATATTCATAAATGATCTTTATGTAAACAAACACGGAAGTACTAGTATTAAAGAGACATAAGGAAATGTTGTTACCTTTTTGGCTTTTTATTCTTTGGTTCTGAAATAAAAAATTAAGAAATAATTAGTTGACCCTAATGTCAAACACCTTATTGTAATTCTGCACTGTCATATACGCCCTGCTCTATACGCACTGCGATATTATACGATCTTCTCTATACGCAGTCATATTATACGCCCTGCACTATACGCACTATCATATACGCCCTGCTCTATACGCACTGTGATATTATACGATCTTCTCTATACGCAGTCATATTATACGCCCTGCACTATACGCACTATCATATACGCCCTGCTCTATACGCACTGTGATATTATACGATCTTCTCTATACGCAGTCATATTATACGCCCTGCACTATACGCACTATCATATACGCCCGGCTCTATACGCACTGTGATATTATACGATCTTCTCTATACGCAGTCATATTATACGCCCTGCACTATACGCACTATAATATACGCCCGGCTCTATACGCACTGTGATATTATACGATCTTCTCTATACGCAGTCATATTATACGCCCTGCACTATACGCACTATCATATACGCCCTGCTCTATACGCACTGTGATATTATACGATCTTCTCTATACGCAGTCATATTATACGCCCTGCACTATACGCACTATCATATACGCCCTGCTCTATACGCACTGTGATATTATACGATCTTCTCTATACGCAGTCATATTATACGCCCTGCACTATACGCACTATCATATACGCCCGGCTCTATACGCACTGTGATATTATACGATCTTCTCTATACGCAGTCATATTATACGCCCTGCACTATACGCACTATAATATACGCCCGGCTCTATACGCACTGTGATATTATACGATCTTCTCTATACGCAGTCATATTATACGCCCTGCACTATACGCACTATCATATACGCCCTGCTCTATACGCACTGTGATATTATACGATCTTCTCTATACGCAGTCATATTATACGCCCTGCACTATACGCACTATCATATACGCCCGGCTCTATACGCCCGGCTCTATACGCCCGGCTCTATACGCAGTCATATTATACGACCCGCTCTTTAAATAATGTCATATAGGCCCTGCTCTATACGCATTTCCCTATATATACGCACTATGTTGAGAGATCATGGGCGTTAGAAAAGACAAGTATGGGAAAAGTTATTTGAGGTAGGCGGGGAACTGAGTCAACTGATGGTAAAGAGGCACCGTTGTCAAGAGGTTGTTATCCTTTATAGTTCATCCCCGACTCATAACCCGCACGATCCACCCCGTCATCTTAGCTAAGCGATTGAGATGGGGTTTTAGACACAAACTATTCATAGTTCCACGGGCTTCTTCGTCTATGGGGTCTTTTAAATACCTATTTCAGTCGCACTAGGCTTCTCCACTGGTCTCTGACGCCGTCTGTGACAAATAACGACAGCTACAGCCACAATGAGCAGAACGAATACCCCGATTCCCACACCAACTCCGATATACACAGACTTCATCTCATCTTCAGTATTGGCATCAGCGTCTTCGTCTGGGGAACTGGACTCAATGGTTTCTGGAATATACAAGTAAGTCTACATCACCCAACCAAGAAATACAATACATTTTCTGGTAAGCTCTACGGACAATCAAAAGCTGCATCAAAGATACCTAACTCAACTCGAGGTTAGAGAAATCTAAGTCTCCAAAGTTCACAACCTAAATTTCGTGGATCCTGTCCACCAGGTGATCTTATAGCCCGATCTCTTGGCTCTCTCCCCAACTAACCGTACTCAATCAAAATTAAGTAAAAACTGAAATAATAAGGAAAAATGGTCGCCGGACTTTCACTAGAAAGAATATCTAAACCATGTTAAGCTGAATTGACTGAAATAACGAGGAAAGATGGCTTATTCAGTAACCATTTATAGCCGGGTCTACTGGAATGATAAGGAACAATTAAAGCAATCAGATTTTCCCCAGAATGAGCTTAAGGCCTACCTTGGACTCCGACTGTAAAAAACAAATCAGCACCTTCTCCGATACCATTTTCAGCAACAACTCGATAAAGACCACGGTCGTCCAGTACGGTGTCTGTAATAGTCAGATCAGCTAAACTCTCCGTTTGTCTGGTGGTCACTCTCTTGTCGTTCTCTATGGTATGACTGGACCCATCAGTTTTCTTCTTCCACGAAAACACTGGCGGAGGATTGGCAATAAACGCAGCTTTCAGATGAATAGTTTGACCAGGTACAAATGAAATTTTGTCCGGGTAAATTCGTGGATCATGTGGTCGAGGTGCACCTGAAAGAAAAGTTCCAATATTAGGGGGAAAGTCCAAAGATTTCGGTGATGCACTGCGGACTGTTTTTAGCAGACTCTTTTTCAGAAGGCTCCGTAACAATTTCGAAAAATATTTCCCTAGTATATCATCCCATGTCTGTCGAATATGCCAATTATACCCTTGTCCTTGCCCTTTTGAATAGGGAGGGATACATGTATGTTCGTGTCGCTTATAGCTTGCCATGTGGTGGTATACATGGATTTGGAAAACCAAGGCTGCAATAGCTTAGAACTTATGTGATCCATTGAAGGGTAATGAACTTTTGTTCATCATTGGGAAGCGTTCCCTTTAACACATAGTACAGTTTGGAAGGATATGTTCACTCTTTTTGAACACGGCTCTCCTTTGGGAAAGTCAACATAAATCGGCACCCCTTTTAGAGAGTTTCTAAGATCTAAATCTCTTTTATGGTTTGCCAACTAGACATGAGAGTCCCCATAGCGATAGCAATATTTATTTGGTATTCACGTTTGTAAACTCAGCATACCCTCTAGAGAGTCTTCATATCTAACAGTGCTTTATGGTTTGTAAACTCAACATCCCTTTCAGATTCAACATAGCTAATAATATAATGCATTTCAATGCTACTTACAAAGTATGGAAACGTTGAAGTATTTGGTTGATCGGAGTCGGAGGATATCGTTCCAGACCGAGCACTGGTAAACTCCGGTATCATTGAACATGGTGTTATCAACAACGAGCTCGTCTTCCAAGGTGTCTTGGGTGGTGATATCTTCCCGTGGTGTTACCCATGTCAGAGTTACATTGGGTACACTTTCAACTGAGCAGTTGACCCTCAACGTACCCCCTTCGCTGATCTCGATTGGGTCGTTACTTGGAGTAACCGCTGTGTTGTTTAATTCGTAAACTGCAAAAATAAATAAATCCATCGAACTGATAGAAAATACAGATGTAAATGCTTTGAGCGCGAATTTGAAGAAGAATTTGTCCAGATCATGATTGGGGAATGTAACCCTACACATAACTTGCATTAAAGTGGTTGTATTGATATTCGAAGTCAACCTTAATCTCCTTCAGTTTCTATACTTGTAAACCAGAAAATTAAAATTAAATTCTTAACAGCTGCATCCGTCTTTATAAACCAATTCAGGTGCAGAAGGATTAAACGCCATTCAGTTCCATAAAGACGTCAAAACTAAAACTATAAGCTTTCTGTTTCTCTGAAAATCATAGGATCAAATTTTGTCGGTAATGTGGAATTCTCCATGTGGAAAATACAAATTTAATGCGTTTTGAGAAACAGGGCAGGAACGCTGCATGTTGGCATGTCCGACTTTTATTCAGATTACTTACCTGAAACGTAGATTGTAGACGTAGGACTCTGATAATTCCCAGGGTATCGATTAAAACAGTTCAAGCTTCCTGTGGTTGCTATTTGCAACGATGCCCACCAATGTGTGCTGTTAACTTCGACGGACGTATCTGATTTACGTACTAACTGATCAGTTCCACGACAGACGGAATAGCTACAATACTGTACAATAACGTCTGATTGCAAGCAGATCTTCTTTAATATTTGGTTTTTGAATATGAATTCCCCCGTAATCTTACGAGTTAAAACCAAAAGGGCTAACATACATATTAAGCTTATATCTGAAGAAAAAGAGTAAAAATTCACATTTTTATACAACAGACAATCTCAAAATACTGCTTATAGCAAAGGAGTCATTGTATAACGTCCATGAAATAGTTTTGAGATCAAACATAAGAGTTTGGAGAAACATTCTGCCCTTGTTTCGGACAGTAAATCCCCATCAGGATTACTTTTTGGTTAAATTCTATTATATGTCCCTAAGAGTATTGCCAGTGGCGTGTCTACGGCGGGCCAGGTGGACCAGGGGGGCATGAAGATTCCCCGACAAAAACTTAATAGAGAATATCTCAAGAAAAACCCCTAGAATTACTTACATGATCGAAGATACATCGTTGACTATTTAGTTAAGTGTGAAGATTTGGCTGAACGAGGAAAATTCGCCCTTTTCCTCCTTCCCCTACTATAATATAATGTTTCTGTATAATTCATAATAATTCACCATAATAAATAATAAAGGTATTTAATATTCTTTATGCGTTTATGAAATATAATTGATCAATTTCCCGCTTTGATTTTTGCTTTACCAGCTGATAGAGGTTCATTTCAACAATATGCTTTTACCACACCTGCTGATTGCGCTCAATTTCAGCTTTCTTTACAGTCTAAACAGATACTTTACCAGCTGATAGAGCTTAATTTAAAAAGTCGTTATACCTGTAGTTGTCAAATTAAATAGATGTTTTAGCAGCTGATCATCTTCACAATGTCAAGCTATTACTAACTTCGTCTTATACTTTGACTACAATAACCGCCTTTCTTGTAGATCAGGGAATGCAGCCTATCAGATTCCTTGCCAGAAATACTGTATAAACATTATGGTAAATGTTCTGTCTATGCCGGATTGGCTGTATTCGCTAGCGTACAATCCAATCAATTAATTTGAACTGGTTTTGACATTTTCTTATCTCGAGGAAGTATGGCAGATCGGTGCGTGGTTTAGACACGTTGGGCGGTGTGAAGATGGCAGTTGATAAAGAGTTCCATTTCAGATATCTGCATTATCGACTAATTATGGCATAAGGCCAAATTGCATCTATTCTTTCTGCAATATTTTGCAGAATTAATGTCCAATGTGGAAGTCCGAATACTAGCAGCTGATTTGTCGATACACTATTAAACAGAGGAGACAATCTCGGCCTAGTATAGGTGTTTCTTGTATTGTTAATTGAATCGATAATCCCTGCAGCGTCTATTAGCATAAAAGCGTTCCATTCGTGGTTAAAATTACTTACTCAGATGCTACCGTGTAACTAATAACAGTAAGGGGGGGCAATTTATTTAAAAGACTCCAGACGGGACAGGTTTCAATAAGGCACATAAGGGAATGGTGTATGGTCGGTAATGGATGAGTCGGTTGCCAGAATTTTAGGGAGGTGAGGAGGGGTGGGGGGTTCAGAAGCGTGGCATTTGTAAGTACATTTAGGATCAAGCAGCTTTGTCCTTGATGCGGTTCCATTGTAACATTTTGAGGCTCTCCATCATCGGGTTTTCGTGGAATATAACTTTTCAAAGGATTGGCGAGTCCTTTGAATTGAAAGTCATAGAAAAAAAAAGACTGAGGGTGGTCAAATTCTTGTATTCAATCAAGATCTATTATAACAAGACTGTTTTGATTGGGTTTATTTTAGCCAGTCATGTCTGACTAATCATTAATAAGACTAGTTATATCGTAATAGGAACAAAAATAACTTCTTGATGTCCATATTGTTCCCGTAAATCCCCAAATCAAGACCAAATTTTGGGAAATGATATCAGATATTTAAAAATCAGACATCCAAGTATTTTGATAATTCACAAAGCCCTGGAGACAGATTCTCTAAATCTGTCATATTAGACAGATTGATCTTAAATTTACATTATCAACCCAGTCTCCTTTCATTTTTCTATTATTAGTTTTTAGTTTTAGCATAGCCACTTCACAGTGGGTTCTAACAACTGGAGCCTTGAACATTGGTCAAATTAACCTTTTGACACCAACATTTGAGAAGGGTACATTTGATTCATTTAAGCAGGTTAGGTCAAAAGGTTAATTTGACGATTGTTCAAGACTCTGGTTGTTAGACCCTACAGCGGCTATATTAAAAATAAAAACTAATAAAAAAAAAAACGAGATGAAATCATAAAACAATCAAATTATTGTATTCATAAAATCTTGTTACATTGAGTAACATTTTTGAGAAACTTAGTTTCTTCATGATTTTAATGTTAAGTAAGTGTTCTTGAAACCAAGTTCCTTATATTTTTGATATTATCATCGTAAAGTTTTTAAGAAACCAGAATTTAAAAGTTGACACTAAAAATGTCTATGAAAGTTTGTCAGGATGAGCTTTTGTCATATGAGTACATAATTCATTACTAGTGGCGTACGGTTCCGCACAGTAACCACATTTAAACGGTTTATCAGCATCTGGTTCTTGCTTTATCTTCAAATCCCCTCCAGCTGCCTCATCTTCCAGATTCTCAATTTTAACGTCACTACAATCTGCTAATCTGTTACCGCTGTCATCTGCACCTTCTACTTTGATTCTTTTAGCAGGTGAATCATTCTTCCCAGATCCGGCGCTTGTGACAGTGGCTCTCTTATCACCTCTTGGAGCAGCCACTGCCAATTCTTCAGGCGTTCTCTTACGACAAATATGGATCTTGAATTCTTCCGACGTTAGGAATTTCATGCCACAAACTTGACAATCCAGTGTTTTGAAATGTTGACGATGCGCTTTAAGATGGGCATCAAATGATTCTTTGGTGTTGGAGATTTTACGACAGAACAGGCAAATGTTACCCTCGACAGCGTGAAGTGAAAGATGAATGATTAATTCTTTATGACAGAGGAAAATTTGTTGACATTGTGGACATCGATCGTGGTTTATTCGATGTTTGTGAAAATCTGAATCGGACTCGAATTTTTCATCACAAATGACACATCGATAAGTAAATGTTGATTGCTCTTTGACTTGGTTTGTCTCTGGTTCCTCTTCTCCCTCCCCCTCTTCCTCTTCGTTATTTTCATCTTCTTCCCCTTCCCCTTCTTCTTCCTCTTCACTATCCTCATCCAAATCTTCAGCCTTCAGTTGCATCACTTCTTCTGCTTGGGCTGCCATCTTTAATCACTATCCTAAAATATAAATTGGAATTTCAGATAAACAAATTCATGAAACTTAATTATTAGGAACTGCCTAGATCTGCTGTCAGACAATATTTACAGAATTTTCAATTATTTTGACATTTTCATGTCAGAATTTTAAGTTCTTCGTAAAACTGTTTCTTATTTGAAAGATAGAACAATAATGACTAAAAGAGATCCCGTGCAGGGACTAATTCAAATTGAATGCAGACTGCAGCATACACAATGAAGAAACATGTAAGAAAATCAAAACAAAAGAAGTCGAGAAAACCGGTGTCGAAGTATTCTGCTTAAAAGCGGATAACATTTCCAACAAAACATTTCCAAAATGGCTTCGCAGTTCAGGAAACTCTTGAACAAAGTATTTCCAAAATACCAACCTTATTTGTTGCTAAATCAAATCACAATCTTTGACAATTCGACTTGTTTGTATCAAGCAAGAGAAAAGATAATAAAAATGGCGCACTAAGGGGAATAACTCCAGTTATTTTCATAGACTCAAACAACAGTTATTTAATTTCAGACCACAACTCCTATTCTATATTTTCACTAAAAGGGTCTTAGTACTAAAACTTTTAATTGAAGACAACTCTAAATGATTGATCAACACAAATTTGATTTCTAATATGATTTAGCAACTCTAGAATTTTCTGATTATCGCTTCCTTATTCGGTCGACCCAGCTGTAAATGGGTAGCCTACGGATAATCCGAGGAAGATCAAAGCGAAATTGTTTGTCCAAGGACCAGTTGGTAGAAAGTAGTGATACGATACATATCGCGATATGGGTTGATAGAAGTATTCACTGTCTTATAAAAAGTTTCTAACAATTTCAGTGAAAAAAATTGTTGTCATAAACCAACTTATAAAAGTCTGTAATTTTTTTTGGAATGAGAGGCATTGTCAAGTATCGATACACGACGTCACATATCGTGGCATGATGTATCGCGATGCGATGTTCACTGTGAACCTAAGAGTAAGATGTTATCCTTGTAAAATATAGTTGTTTCTTTTTTTCTTCCTCGTGTTCACTGTGTTTATGCCACTTATTCAACTTCCCACCAAAGGGTTCACATAATAAAGAAAATTATTTCTGTATTTTCACCCTATAGGCTTAGCCTAAATGAAAATAAACACGACATTTTTTGACATATGCAGTATTTATGTTATTAAGTACATACTATACAAATATACCTTGAAATTTTATACAGTAGCCTACATGTCTACAAACAATTAAAAATGCCCCTTGTCGAAGGTATACGGTCATATTTTTCATGTTAACCGAGGCCAAACTGAAATCTTATTCAGGCAAAATCTAAACCAAATCCCATTTCCAGACCAAACTCCATAATCCTCAACAGGACTGATTTAATAGCAATATGGATTAACTGTTTAAAATAGGAATTCAGACACCTAAAGCCCTGGAGCCCAGTTCAGGAATAGAAATTGTAGCCCAAGTTCAATCTAAATGTTTCACCAAGCATCCCCATATTCTTTAAAACCAAAATTTCAATTTCATAATGTATTGTATCCTTTGAAAGATCCAACCTCTTTTTTCCCCTTGAAATAAACGACTAGATCAGGGGGCATCTTTTGTGGCATGATTTGCAATAACAAATACATAAATGCCGTAAATAAAACCGCCTAAATACGCGCAAGTACCAATGAACAGGCTTATAGATGCCAGGAATTTCGCTTTCTGACCAAAATCCTCTGCTTTCTCCCAGTCATCCTCAATCGCCGATTTTTTAGACTGAAAATAAAAGAAAAAAAATCATATATAATATTTTAAGATACCGAAGGAATAACTCTCATAAATTCCCCCAGAACCCCTCCCCCCCCCCCCCCACCCCCTTCCGGAAATTTTCAAGAAAGAGAAGCCCGTACACACAGTTTCCATTGATCTGGCTGCGCCATTGAAAAGTGTACCATAAATTTGTTTGGTTATTTAAAGTGATTATTGAAATCTTACCCCTAAATTACCACTAAATGTCGCTTAAAGAATAGCAATCCCACTACTATGGACCTACACGGTGTTTAAGACGTGACATACGGTATGCGATATCAACATATTATATGACGATATCACATCCCTTCCGAGGAACTTGGTAGGACTAGACCTGTCGGGCAATGCTACCAGATAACTCACCAAAAGAGAATAGACAACAGCTGCTATACCAGTTGGAAAGAAGCACAGCAGGCAAGTGGCTAGAGACATCATTAGGTAATCTTTCGGTATATCCGGTTCCTCTTCAACGTCAACGTCGGGTGCCACCACATACACTGGCTGAAGCAACTGCACCGTTTTTCCTGACTGGTCGATTGTCGGCTGGCCTGGTGTGCCTTGGATTTGTGCTGGGTAACTTGACTGGATTTCTGCTGGGTAACCCGTCTGGATTTGTGTTGGCTGATCCGTCTGGATTTGTGCTGGGTAACCTGACTGGATTTGTACTGGGTAACCTGACTGGATTTGTGCTGGGTAACCTGACTGGATTTGTGTTGAGTAACCCGTCTGGATTTGTTTTGGCTGACCCATCTGGATTTGTGCTGGGTAACCCGTCTGGATTTGTGTTGGCTGATCCGTCTGGATTTGTTCTGGATAACTTAAAGGGATTCGTGTTGGCTGACCCTCCTGGATTTTTGTTGGCTGACCCTCCTGAATTTGTGTTGGCTGACCCGACTGAATTTGTGTTGACTGACCCAAAAGGGTCTGGACTGATTCGCCCTGTGTCTGTGTTTGACTGATTTGTGTTGGCTGGGCTGACTGGACTTGCTTCGGACGATGTTCCGGGTTGATTTGTCTTGGCGAGTTTTGAGCTTGTCTTGACGAGTTTTGAGCTTGTTCTGGCTTGCATGATTGGGCCTCTTCTGGATCGTTTTGAAACTGTGTTGGCAAGTTTCTTTGAGCTTGTGTCGGCTGACCTAAAGGAGTATCTGCTTGTATTGACTGAATTGACTGAGTTTGAGCTTGTGTTGGCTGGTTTGACTGAGTTTGAGCCCGTGTTGGCTGGCTTGACTGAGTTCGAGCTTGTGTTGGCGAGTTCTTGGCTGGTCTTTGTATGTTTTGGGCCTGGGTTGGCGAGGTTTGAACTTGTGTCAGCGACTTTTGGTCATTCGTTGGCAACTCTTCAGATTGTGTTGGTTTACTTGATTGGGCCTTTCCTTGATCGTTTTGAACCGGAGTTGGGGGTTTTTGAACCGGAATTGGTGAGTTTTGAGCTAGTGTCGGCGAGTTTTGAACCTGTGTTGGAGAGTTTTGAGCTTGTTTTGGAGAGTTTTGAACCTGTGTCGGAGAGTTTTGAGCTTGTGTTGGCGAGTTTTGATCTTGTGTTGGCGAGTTTTGAGCTTGTGTTGGCGAGTTTTGAACTTGTGTCGGCGACTTTTGGTCATTCGTTGGCAACTCTTCAGATTGTGTTGGCTTACTTGATTCGGCCTGTGTTGCAGAGTTTTGAGCTTGTTTTGACGAGTTTTGAACCTGTGTCGGAGAGTTTTGAGCTTGTGTTGGCGAGTTTTGAACCTGTGTTGGCTGACTTTGAGCTTGTTGGGATGATTGATCTGCCGTTACCTACAATGGAATATTAAGTCTATCGGGTTTTAATTGCAAACGTTTCAAAACATTATACGGCACATATCAAAATATTTCCGAACCCTTCTGACTATTGGTCAGTTAGTCACTGTTGTTGTTCTCGACTGTTTGTTGGAGGGAGAAAACCACTGAATTTACCGGAAAGCGACTCCAATAGCCATCCTTGACCAATGTCAAGTGTGATGTACAATACCTTTTCTGATACCAGAAAGAAAGATACGAGCTTTCTTTCGCATAGGCTAGACTCCTATCTGATGCCGAGGGAGGAACTGGGGATTTTGGTGGTGCATGGATAATTGAAGCATAAGCCTTACTGACATGTTCTGGCAGCGATGTAATGACACCATTTTGGACATAACCAGGATTCTTTCCAGATAGACACACTTTTCTAAGCTAACACCACAAAAACTCTAATAAGATCTATAGTCTACTTACATTTAGGACATCGCTAAACTCTTCTGAAAGAAAGAATTGTGGGTAAATTTGAACATACAAGGACAAGGGAGATAATGAGAAGTGCCATAGGCCTCCGCCACTGGCTGCTTAATGGATGTACATAGCTGCTTATCGGCTTATTAAAAGCGCGTAAAAGAGGGTAGGGGGATTTCATTCATAATTTTAATTGCAGTCACATTACGCCTTGCCTACATCAAAGGGAAAGGGACTACAAGGAACGACAACTCTGTATGAGAGATTGGGGGAGTGTTGTGGTCGCATATTGAATGCAACTCAAACTGCTTAATTTTTTTTATAAAGACAAGATGATCGCTTGAATAATGATGCCTAGTTCCAGTGATGGACAGGATTCATTTTATTTTGAAGAGTGTTCGTAAACCTCCGTTTTATTGCAGTCTACCGTTGTTATCTTTAGAATACTAGAACTACCTACCGTGCTTCTGCATCATGTCCTTTTTATTTATTTGACCGCTTAAACTTAAAAGATACTGTACGCCTACAAAATTTCAGCGGTACTACATCTCCACAATTTCCTATTTGCTCACTTCCGTTTGGACTCTGACGTCGTCAAGGAATTTGACGCCATAGCACGACTGACGTCAAATTCTAACATACTTCGGAAATTTTCATAGTCAAATGAATGGAGTTTTACCGCCTACTATTCCGCTCCAGACCGGACCAATGAAGGCAATACAATGCCATGCAAACGGAAAATGCACATGATTAGTACCAATGACCAAATATTAACTATCATTAAACTACCTTGTCCTTGGTCAATCTTTTGGATTTTGGTCGTTCATTGGTTACTTTAGCCTCGGCCTACACATTGGTAGAATCAAGCAATGAATTTGTCTTTTGTGCTAGATATAGCCTACATGGTATTGTTTCGTAGTATGAAATCTCTAATCCTTAAACAACACCATTTTTAGTGCCCTGATTGAGAGCTAGTTAAATTGTAATATCGTATCAAAATAAAGAAAACAAGAAATTTATAGTAATTTTTTAAATTAACAAAATACATATTTTGAAAATATTAAATATAATATAAAACTTCAAGCATTTTGAGAGAGTTAGAAAGCAAAAAATATTAAATTAGAATAAGAGTAAAAAGGAAAGTTACTTTCAAAATCTGAGCTTCTTTTTGAAATTCTTTGTAAAAGATCTTTGACGTGTGTTGAAATAAATGCCTTAAATGAATTCGATTGTACGAATTTTCTTCTAAATGGACCCTACCCCTTTTACACAATCGGGCGGTCGGTAAAATTTTGAGAAAGTGACCAATGACCAATGAACTTTAAGATACGAGATTCTAAAATTTAAAATTTTGTATCCCTTTAAATTCCATGTATAAAAAGGGAAATCTAAGGATATCGCAACGCCATTGTTACTAACACTACCTAAATTAAGGTCGTGTTTATGTTTTGAACTGTCCCGGATGCAAATTAATAATATATAACCAACAAATAACAATGATTTTGGCTCTTGAATTACAATTTTAGATTTTAAATGTTTTTTTTTTTATTATGTGCATCGTCGAATAGAACTCTGTTAATCGTATTGATACCCTCTCAAAGCAGAGGCAAATACCACGAACACCACAATTACGTAGATTATAACAGCAATAATCCAGATAATACCAATCACCAAACTTATTATAGAGAAAATTTTGGCCAGGTTTCCTTCTTCTTGAGCTTTTGCATAATCCTGTCTATCACTGGACGATTGGGACTGAAAAAAATGAAAGACATAGTAGACATTTGTAATCGATTCTTCTTTTAATTCAACTCATCTATAGTAGGCCGACCTCCTACTGCAATAGCTCCGTACCTACCAGTACTAGTATCCCTTGCAAGCACCTCGGATCCAATAATATATGGATTGCATTATTTCGTCGGTTTGGCCTACATGATGCCAAAACATCTGAAGGTCGGTAGGGCCTATGCCTAACAAGAGTCCGAAAAATTTGGCAGATTTCTATGCATTCGGTAATCCTCGGCAGTTTCCGTAAAGCTAAATCTGTTGCAGAACTTTCACGGTAAACTGTTTGGTTCCTATATGGGTATCATCAAACACTGGAGGGGAGCCTTAGATGTTTCGTTGACAAAATAATATTCTTTAATGTATGGCGCGAAATTTTTACGTCTGGTACAAAAACAGGAGAGAAAAAACTTACGCTGCAGGCAAACACAATAGCAGCAATACCAGTGGGCCAGAAGCAACAAATACATGTGAAAATGGCGAAACCCAAGTAGTCGCTAGGACGAGATGTTACTACGACATTAGAAACTGGATAACCACCGGAGACCTGAAATTCGAGAATACATGTATAAATCAAACTAAATTATATTAGGCCCTAGGTCAAACTGTATTATTTTTTTTTCTCCGGATACAGAGCTCAAATTAATGTACTAACAAGAAGTTTTACGTCCTTATTTTCTGCACCGGATTGGCCATTGATCGCAATGCATTGTACAATGGGGGAAATCTTCCGCAGCCTGTAACACATGATACAACTTCCATGACACAATAAAGGTGGCTATTGCAGTCAAGGTATAAGTATGAAGTTCGTAATATCTTTACTAATGGATAATGGCTGAAGAGAGTTTATAGCTTAGGTTAGCGGTTATGTTAGTTTTTTGTTCTGTCTTTATAGCTTCCGAAACCCCCTCTGATCATGTTTCTTGTCTTACAGCTCTACTTACCACCACTGTGTTAGAATGTTGTTGTCCATACCCCTGTTGTCCATACCCCTGTTGTCCGTAAGGTTGACCATATGGCTGTCCATAGGGCTGTCCGTAGGGTTGTCCTGGTTGAGTGAACCCCTGTTGTGGTTGACCTTGAGATTGTCCGGGTTGGGTGAATCCCTGGTTGCTTGCAGAATAATCAGGCGGTTGTTCTGATCCTAAAATGATAAAAGAGCTTATTGGGATTGGATTGGATTGGATTGGATTGGATTGGATTGGGATAAGCATAAAGCATCTGATTGTCTCGCTCATTCATTTACATACCACCCAAAATCACCACTTTTTATATCACAAATGAATCATATCTTATTACGACTAAAAATAAAAAAAAAGGCAAAAATAAAAGGAAATCCCCTAAATCTTCCTTTTTTGTAAGCTTGACTTATTCCCTTTCAACAGCCCTATTACATTTCATATAGAAATATAATATTTATAACCTTTACTGAATTGTCACATAATCTTAGTCAAACCTAGATAAGTTGTTAGGTCAATTACCCTCAATTCAGCTATACATACTCATATAGGGTTTCATAGCTCTTATTTTTCATTTTCAGAGCACTCTCTTTTCCATGACCTCATACCCTTCAAAAAGAGTAGGATGTGAAACGCATTTCAGTTTACGCCCATTTACACCTGCGTCATAAATATGACATATACGTGCGCATCCATCAAATATATTTAAATAAATTGCGTACGAAAGGGAATCTTAAAATCTATAGTTAAACGACCCTGCAGCGGTTAAAATAGGCAAGATAAAGTCACATCTACCAAACAATCTTTTCATCTCTTGGTATGACAAGTGGCCGTAGGCGTAGAATACCGGGGGGCGGGGGGGTATCTTTTCGGACAGCGACCTAATAAATATCGGGCAACAAAGAAATATACTGTAAATACGGGTAAAATTCTTGTGAAAATTTCTGGCAAACTAGTCCCCCCCCCACACAGGTTTTAAGGCCCGTACAGCCATAGTAAAAGAATTGCTCCCCTGGAAAATTTGGTGGCGCTTGCTCGACCCCCTCACTGCAGAGAGACGCCACTGGATATGACTATAAACTAGTAAACCAATTTTATCTAAGGATTATTAAAGTATTTATCTTATCTCGTTGCTTATCAACAGAAATCTAATCTTTATTGATAGAAACTAAAACACGAATACGTCGTTTCATTTATCAACACAATGCTCTTTACAACACTGTACGTTATTTTGAGTTACAATACAAGTACTGTGCGTCAAACCTTGATGTTGTACGTTTTATCTATCATTTTACAAATAATGTGCGTTATATCTTGATGATGTACATTTATTTAGATCTGTTGTACTTTCTTTACAATTACTGTATGTTTTACTTGATTGTTGTACGTTTTATTTAAATGGACTGCACCTTAATGTTACGAGACCTAGTTTACGTTCCACCATGAAGTTGTAATTTTTGTTAAATGTACATGTACTGCAGGCCTACCTTCATCTTACTAGTGAACCTAGTGTGTGTTTTGCCTTGAAATTTCGTTTAATTAATACAACTGTACTTTCTGGGATAAATTTTGTACAAGTATGACACACATTCATAAAAACTAAAATAATAAATAACAGTATAAAACTGTTGGACCGTTATAGCCCCTGGCAAAATAAAATGGTAGACTCTACATACATATTCACACGCAAACGTGAGAGCTTGGCCCAGGGGTATCAATATTAGACCAGAAAATATCTCCCACCCCCTTAAAAATATAAACAACATTTGTTAATGGGCAGGCGATGGGGAGGGGGGGGGGATGGTTATTAATTATTGATAATGGTATTTTCGGGTCATATTTAATAAATCTTAGAGTGTGTAATCGTGTTCCAATCATGCCCTTATCCTAGAACTCTCTCTACCTTTCACCTTCGTACCAGTAATATTTGTTTGTAGGGAGGGGATGGAGATATCCATTATGGTATTTGCGGGTCCTATTAAATTAAAGATGGAGTTTTAGCTTTCAGGGCGTGCATTCTCGGCCCAAACGTGCCACTCTCCCCCCGCACTCTCCATCTTTATCCTCCTTTACCAGTTAACACGAAGATATGAAACTGCGTCAGTTCGTAGAATTATAGTAATTTGATATTCACTATAAAATTATGCTTTAATTATTACTGCACTAAGATCGATATTGTAACAGGCCTTTTCTACTAAAAACTATGTAGGCCAATGTCACAGAGAACTGACAACCGAAACGTAGTTTATCACGGACAATGGTCGTTATGAAAATACACAGAATTCCAAAAAATGTAATATTTACCTTTGGTTGCCATAGTTGATTGATACAATAATGAACACAAAAATTATCTGTAATAATTCCGACAGATTTGTAAATGCAGGTAAACTAGGTCACGTGGTGTTTATTATTGTATACTCGATTACCCAGAGACCAGTGATCAAAAATATAGGATCGAATAGACAAATGCATAGAAATACAAGACATGGTGATCTCGACTACATATTACATAGAGCTGAATAGCCAGACACGTAACTGTTAGACCCTTTTTTATGCTGAATCATATAGCCTTATCATGTTTATGTTAGGTCTCTAGAAATTGTTTTCTCTCGTTACGATTTAGTGAAACGCTTCGATTCAGTAAGTTATTACAAAGCGTTTTCATTTAATGACGATAAATCGGTTGAATGCCTATTAGCTAGTTGCTGTGAACGGGAGACGGACAAAAGTGCCTTCACAAATAAGGAAACATATTTCATAAATCTAGCACATTTAGTCATGAATAAGGAACTCATCTGTATCGTTATTGAGATATACATCTATTATAATTAGCTAAGGCATGGAATCTTCCTCAAAAGATGTCATTATCATTTTAATAAATCGCAAAACAATCTGTTTTTATTTTAATTAATGAACAAGTTACTTGATTTAATTCTGAACAAATACTCAAAATGATTTTATCACTATATTTAGATAAATATTTTCTTATCCTATCATAAGACAAGATCTTGCTTTAGAGAATGGTGGAGACATGGGGAAAGAAGAAAAGTAAAAGGTAAGGGACAGAGTTTGAGTTACTGAGTAGAACAAAAAGAGAAAAGGAAAGACTGGTAGAAAGGTTAAGGAAGAAGAGACATGCAGAACCGCCTGGTAGAGCGGAAGGAAGAAAAGACATGTAGAGAGAAAAGGCTGGTAGGGTGAAGAAGGATTTGACTGGTAGTAAGGAAGAAGGAGGGTAGACAGGAACTCAACGAAAATTGGACAGCGACAGAAATAATTAGATAACGAAGAAATCATAAGGTGTCTCAATGGTCAAATAAAACTATATTGAGTTCCTTCCCTTGAGTTAAAAACGTATATAAAACGTTTCTATTCAAATTTTAACATTCTATTTCACATACTATGAAATTCGGCAGCAGTTCAAAAATATTTCGATTATAGACTCCAGATCGATCTTACCAATAAAGTCTAAAATATAATAATAATACATGTTTTGAAATATTGAAAGATGAGATTCAATGGAACGGTCCATACTTCCATACTAATTACGCTCTGGTTTCATATCCCTATTCCAGTGTTCATTGGTCCAATAAGGTGCTGAAAAGGAGCAGGACACACAGGGGAGAAAGGGGGTGGGGCAAATACCAAAAGTCCATATGGTTGGAAAGGGAAAATGTGTTTAGTCGTTCGAATGGACGGTACATCGATACCCTGTGAAACAGATTGAGCATCCCTAAAAATCCCTCAAACAACTGGAATTGAAACTAGAGTAGGCTAAAGCTTTTTCCTTACTGCACACTGCATGACTCGTTGCCTGGCTTCATTAGACCCAATTCAAGTCCTATCAATACTTTACATTTTAAGTATAAAAACATCTTTCTTTACGAAATATATAATAATAATATAGATATTGGAAACAGATATTGGTTACTATTCTTGAACAGGCCTCGTTCAATCTTCACAATATCAAGGTATTATATACCCTAATACTTTAAAACAGTGATTAGATTGGATTGTACGCTAGTGATTACAACCAATGAGAGCCGGTGAAAGAAAGACTTAAAAACTGTAGTTGTGACTTTAATCGAGGGCTTTATTTGACCAAATTTGCTACCGTGTAATCCAACCAGTTCGCCTCATTGACAAATTTACTTAATACAAGAAAAGTGCCTATTGGTGTCAAAGTATTAGACTGAGTTTGTTAAGCTTTGGGCCATAGAAAGCGGTCTTTTCGCTAATGCTACATGATATGCTCCTCTACAAATCTATATTATCAAATAATATATTTTGAATGCCTCGGATTTATGCATTGTTATCTCTACAAGCGAAATGTAAAAAATATACAAATTAAGAATTATTTTGGCACCCAAAAAACAATTTCAGGCTTAAATTTTCTACCATAAATAACATTTGCTCTGTTTATTTCATTGCAGGGGATATAACTTGTTTTGATCACAAAAAACTATAGAATTTCCTCGTGTTGATTACAATTACATAAATTATTACAGTAATAATGCCGAGAAGACCAATCATCAAACTGACGATAGAGAATATCTTGGCCATATTCCCCTCTTCTTGTCCTCTAGCAAAATCTTGTCTGTCACTGGACGCCTGTGACTGAAAGAAAAAAGACTGGTTGGCATTTCTTATTGATATTTCTTCTTTCGATACAAGTTAAATCCTGCTTGAGGTACTAGTGCCCTTGTTCCCGACCTTAGTAGGTCTATCCCAAGGGTGTACCCGTGAACACTTCAGGGGTGTATACCTATTAGCAATTCAGAGGGCACCTGTATAAGTTAGGTCTAATTTTTAACATGTTAAGCCTTATAGAATTTTGTTATTGACTACATAGTTCAATAAATTCTGTTGGAATATTGAATCCCTGCATCGAACTTATTGTCTGGGACAAGAATGCCTCCACCCCCACCACTCCTCAGAAAAAAACATCCCAAAAGAACATAGAACTTACGCTACAAGCAAACACAATAGCAACGATACCAGTGGGAAAGAAGCAACACAAAAAGGTGAAAATGGCGAACCCCATGTAGTCGTTTGGGCGAGATGCTACTACAACATTTGAAGTCGGATATCCACCAGAGGCCTGAAATTGGAAATAATTAAAAGAAACAACAGAAGAATACAGTGTCAGAAACAAAGTCTTGTAAACTGGTACTCTGTTGTGCTCGCTTATCATTACCCTTCGGTGTGAGGCTTTAGATGGAATGGGGGACCAGATAACAAGGTCTTGATGCTTTTGGTTCTGTATCACAGTCGGTTGCTTGGTTACTTCGAGCAAAACGGTGATTGTGGTGAAACCTTTTACTGTCTGCAAACCATCTGAAACGATCTACAATCAAAGTTTGGCGCACAACTTACCACCACTGTGTTAGAATGTTGTTGACCATACCACTGCTGTCCGTAAGGTTGACCGTATGGCTGTCCATAGGGCTGTCCGTAGGGTTGTCCTGGTTGAGTGAACCCCTGCTGTGGTTGACCTTGGGGTTGTCCAGGTTGGGTGAACCCCTGCTGTGGTTGACCTTGGGGTTGTCCAGGTTGGGTGAACCCCTGGTTGCTTGCATAATAATCAGGGGGTTGTTCTGATCCTGAAATGATAATGGAACCATTCATTTCATTTCATTCCTTCAAATGAAATGACGTCATGTTAAGAACGAACTCTCTAACCGACTGTGTTATAGAACTGTAGAGCGATATAAAAATGCCACTGTTAAAATATAGATATATTATTATGTATATGATCTTTTCATTTAATATATACCTATTCTATTACCTGACTATATATATATATTTACTAAAGAATTAGAACAGATATATATTTAATGAAAAGATTATTCATTATTGAGGTGACTTTTACCAACAATATAGTAAGCTATAAATTTATTAACTAAAACGATATCGTTATAAAAATGTTCATGTTGTTTGATTGTTGAATCCTCGAGGGAAATAAAATGAAACATATATTCAAATAAATAGCCAAACAAAAACAAAATTCTCAAACTTGGCCAATAAAAGTATATATTCATCTTAGGCTTGAATAAATACTTGAATAATTACTGAATAAATACGATTTTCAAGATAATCACTTGGTTTTCAAGATAATCACTTGGTTTTCAAGATAATCACTTGGTTTTCTGGATAATCACTTGGTTTTCTGGATAATTACTTGGTTTTATGAATGATTACTGAGTGTCAATGATAATAACTTAGTTTCCTTGATAATCACATACTTAGTATTATGAATAATTACTTAGTTTTATGGATAATTACCCAGTCTTTTGGATAATTACTTAGTTTAATGGCTAATTACTTAGTTTTATGTAAAATTACTCGGTTTATGGATTATTACTCAGTTTTATGCACGATTAGTTAAGTCTATAAATGGATATTCAATATCATTTTGTTACTCTATGATCGATATTGTCAAACGTATTTCAGCACGGACAATAGACAGTTTGACAAAACATACAATTCAAAAAAGTCATAATTACCTTTAGTTTCCATGTTGAATTAATTAAAATAATTAACAGAACTATTATATTGGATAATCCGAGATGATCTAAAATGCTTTTAAACTAGGTCACGTGGTGTTTATTATTGTATACTCGATTACCCAGAGAATAACAATATTAAAAAGGTCGGTGGCACAACTACCATAGGAACGCGTTGAACTAAGTCCACGGGTCCCCTACCATAAGGGAGCGCTCCACCTCCAGAAAAAAAATTGCAGGAGAGCATATGATTTTCAAAAATGTTCTCGGGGTCCCTAACATCAGCAAGGGGCCCCAACCCCCAGAAAAGATGCAGCAGGGCATTTTAAAAACTTCCTCAGGGTAGTGCCCTCAACCTATTTGAATTGAATTACGACATTTTGATCTTGACTTTACCTGTATGGCCCAGATAGGGATCCGATTACGTCATAAGATCGGGAATATGTTATTGCTTGTTAAAAATAATTTAAAAGTATATAAAAGAATAAATATAAAACCTGTTTATATACGTCTCAATTGATCCAAGACACAATAGAATCATTTACAGGGGCTTAGGTTTGGGAAAATGAAATGCATGGAGTTTTACGTCCTACATTTCTGCACCTGTGAAGACGGACAACGATACAATGAGGGAGACTTCGAAGCGGAGCTTCTGTTTATTGTCCCATCAGAACCACTAGTCGTTTTTCCCATGTCAGCCCCCATCTTAATCTATGACATGTTAGAACCAGGATGAAAATTATGTTAGGGAAGGCACAGGGGAAGGGTGGGGACGGAGTGTGGTGTTGATTGGAGTCAAGTTGGTTACTCAAGTCATCGCTCCTAGTTATTACAGTTGACCCAGCTGTAAATTGGTACGGAATAAGTCATCGTTCTTCATTATTCCAGTCTACCCTGCTGAAAGTTGTTAGGTTATCCTTTCAAAAATAGGTTGTTTCTTTTTTTATGTTACCATCTTTGATAATAAAACAACTTTTCTGTACAGAATATTTATTTAAAAAAAAAACAAACAACAGAGAATCAAAATATTATCACAGATATTATAGCATCTTCATATTGTTAAGCTATTATGAACTTGTACAAGTTCGTAATATCTTGACGTCGTGAAGATGAGATATGGGTTACTATGGGTTAACTATTCAATTTGAGCTCCATTAATATAAGTACTGTAGCAAGTTTCCCTAGCTAGACAGGGTATGCTTTCAATGATCTTTAAAACCACCGTATACCCGTCTGCGACTGGGTTTATCAACTCGAAGAAAGTCTACCTAGCTAAATCAAAATGATCAGATCATTCAGAGAGTAACACGTCGCTTAAATTCATTATTTGGTATTCAGATTCGTTAAAGTGGCCTTCTTTTTCAGAGAGTCCACATAGCTGATAATATTCATTTGGTATTTATTTATCACACTTAATGACGCCGTTATTTATGTAATTAAAGACGAACCCTAATCCAGATTTTAATTTGAAGAGTAATTGGGCCTAAATATAACTAAAAAATGGAATTCTATCAGTCGATAAAGTAAAAAAATAATGTAACTATTTCCTTTTAACCGTCGCTGTATGATTATTAGGGTATATGTTTTGCAAAATCACAATCATTCTTAACCGAAACTCTGAGAGTTGCTGGTAGCGGCACCGACGGCCTGGGCAAATACCACGAACACCACAATTACATAGATTATAACAGCAATAATCCAGATAAGACCAACCACCAAACTGACGATAGAAAATATCTTAGCCATATTTCCTTCTTCTCTGGCTTTCGCATAATCCTGTCTATCACTGGACGATTGAGACTGAAAATGAAAATTCAGCGCTGGATTAGAAACATATTCATATTTTACAGAGCTAAGTCTACCAGATTGACCCTTTAGTTTCTTTTGGCATTGATCTTTCCTGGATTATCAAACCCCTTGAATGATATAATATGGAGGAAAAGTTCTTGTAAATCCTGTCTACCAACTGTCCCTTGGCAAAACCCCGTGGCAATGATTTTATAATGATAACTACATAGGTCCTCTAGGATACCAGCTGGTCATTTACCAAATCCCATAGTAATGCTTGTATGAGGATAACAACTTAAATTCTCGTTCTACCAGTTGATCCTTGGCTAAATCCTAAAAATATTAGGAATCCAAAAAAAAAAATGAAAAAAGACTTGAAATTGAATGCAACAAATGGCCAATGAAGACGGGCAGCGTGTGCAATGAAGGAAATTTTGTTGGACAGCTGTAACACGACTTACCATACAAGCAAACACAATAGCGGCAATACCAGTTGGCCAGAAGCAACAAAGGCAAGTAAAAACAGCACATCCTAGGTAAGAATCGGGTCGGTGTAACACTACTACATTAGCCGGCTGTCCAACCTGAAAAACGAGAGATAAAAACATTACAAACCAAGAACACAACACTGAAAAAATTCCGTAACTAATAGCACTGTGGTCAAAGCTATAAGCAACATGGAAACTAAAAAAAATTTTAAAAAGATTTTGACATTTGATTTTTCTTTTTCATCGTGAAAAGGCCATCATTATTTTTTGTGACATGTTTTTACTGATTTCGCTTCACCCTTAAAATCTTCAATATAATCTTACCACTACTGTGCTATGATGTTGCTGTTGGCCATATCCAGGTTGTTGGCCGTATCCAGGCTGTTGACCATATCCAGGTTGTTGACCATATCCGGGTTGTTGACCATATCCGGGTTGAGGCTGGTTATATCCGGCCGGCGGTGGCGGTTGATTTTGGTTCTGTCCGGGTGGTGGATTACTCCCTGATTTAACTGAAGAAGAAAATGAAAATATGTATTAAAATAGCTTCATGAAGGACAGAAATTACGAGCCATTACAAGGTCACGTGCTGAGACAAGGGCAGGGCATACTCTACCCAGATGCCACTGTGTGATTGTTATTATCAAACGACAATAACGAAAAGTTTTTGGAAACTCGGCGAATGTTATTTTAATTGATATATTCCAGACGGAAGTTCTGTTATATGTCCGTGTTCAATCGAATAAAGATATATATACCGAAGTGGCGATGGTCTAATAGCAATGCCATTTATTTACCGATATGTCCGATGACGTCATGGAAGAATACTACAAATAAATTTTCACTGTTTTCCCAATGTTTTCGGGCAATGACCAAACCCCCCACCCCCCCCCCCCCCCCTTTTAAAAAATACACTGGACGTAAACCTGCACCCAACGTCGTACCATGACTATTTTTCCTTTGAACTGTACTATCAG